AGGAAAAGCACAGAATGCTATAGACAATAGGTGTGAGTCTGTCCCCAGATTCCAAAGTTGAAACCCTAATCATGAATGTGGTAATATTTATTACCAAATATTAGGTCATTCTCCTTAGGTGAGGAAAAAGGAGCTCTCGTGAATGGAATTAGTACCCTCGTAAGAAGAGACCTGAGAGAGAAGTCTCTCTCCATGTGTGGATACAGCAAGGCAGGTTCCAGGGCCAGGAAGAGCCCTCATCACAAATAGTCTTGTTGGCACTGACCTCTTCACTTTCAGCCTCCAGAATAGAGACAAATGAATCCTCCCAATCAATGATCCTTTTGCTACAGCAGACCAAGGGTGCTAAGACATTGACCATCATATAATTTTCAAACTGATTCCAACACTAATATTTCTGCCTGGCACTCATAGTGGGTCAATGCTTAAGATTTTTAAAGTGGCATGGAAGACTAGATGGGAATAAAACTCAGTTGTACATGCCTGGAATCTATCCCTGCGGCAACACTCTCCAAACTGTCCACCTTTCCCTCCTGGACATATGGAAGACTACATTTGCAGTTAAATATGACCACAATGGTATTCAAGCCGTGGACTGTATGTAGAAATGCCACGTGATCTTCAGTTCTGAGTCATAAAAATCCCCAGATGTGCTTGCTATCCTCCCTTATCTGAGGGAAAATCAGAAAATGGGCAAAGGCACAGAAGGAAGAAGCCTTGGTGAGGTGAGCCGTCAGCTTAATAACATATATGCCAAGCAATTCCTTTAGTGAGCAGCTTTTACCATCTTTAACCCTGAGATGCATTCTCATTTTAAACAGCCGTTCACCCGGATTGAACACGAAAATTAAAAAGAAAACAAAACTTCCCACTAAAAGCCAGTAAAAACTGTCAATAGCTGACTTTTAAATGAATGTTTTAAATCAGTTTTATTACAAAGAAATGGACATTGACACAAAACATCCTATTTAGTACTGGATCTCCGTTCTTATTTTTTTAATAGACTGGGTAGCTGGACATAATCTTCAACCTGGGTTAGTACTCATGACTATCAGCTTTGCAGCCAGTCATACCTTGCATATTTACTTATTTGAGCAATCTAAATTCCTCTGTAGAAGCCAACCTTCATCAGGACTACCTGCCGAAACAGAATGAAAAAAATGGCTGGAAAATTGAAGATTTGCCGGAATTCATTTGGGAAAAGCGCAGTTAGACGTGCAACTGAAGAGTCCTCTGGAAATATTGTAAACTTTTTGAGGATATGTGGAATACTCTGATGAAGGTCTTCAGTATCTTCCCAAGCCAGATGGCATCAGTAGGTAGTGGATTGAAGCAGATGGAAGCAGCAAGTAATGAATTAAACAATACAAACACATTCTCTGCTTTCTTCTACCATTTTAGGGCACAATCTATCAATTGTGTCCTAACAAGCAGGACACAGAAGGTCAATATGCGTTTCAAACAGCACGAAGGAGGAGTCTGTTGAACAACAGTCTGAGGCAGTTTGGGTGAGGAGTTAATCCTAAACATTCAACTCCACAGGAGAAGAGTGATCAGTCGTTTCCTGCATAAGGGAGACCTTCTTAGTATTACTGTCCTCTAAATTCATGCTCAGAATCTACCTCCGAGCCTCTTGTACGTCTGGTGAAAAAAGGTTCAAAAAGTAAATCGTTGAGCAAAGGCTGCCTGGACCTTCATTTTATGGGGAGCTATGTACAGAAAGAAGGGTGGAAAGATCAGGATTCAACAGCCTACAGAGACTAAATCAATATACATTACAAAGACTAAGAATGTGTTGATCAACTAATGTCCCTATATCCTATTATCATACTCCAATGGCCAATAAAAGTCATGGCTGTAAAATGGAGGCCTAAGTAATGTAGAAATCACTATCAATATTACAGAGTCACTACCAATATTTTTTTAAAAATAGAATCTTCTTGCTGTTTACAGTCGGCTAAGACCAAGCAACATGTACTCAGATTTATATTTTTAGTACCAACAGACTGAAAACAGGTATAAATTTTTCCTTGAGGAATTTGCTTTGTTTATAAAAATAAATCTACCGAGTTTATTGTTACCTATGTTTTAGTAAAAACGAAGTGAACTGATCCACATGACCATATTAACATAAATATTAAGGACAATATGGTAACTAATAAAAGCAATGCACTGATTTAAGTTTAGGAAATATCAGAAGTAATGACAAATAACCAAACTATCTCACAAATAACGATGTTGGAGAAAATAATGTCATGCACTGGTATCTCGTGGTAGACTGGTTCTAGGACTCCTTATGAACACAAAAATCCAGAGATGGCCCCAGTCATGTATGTAAAATGCATAGTATTTGCATCTAATCTACACACACATCTCCATACTTTAAATCATCTGCAGATTACTTATAATACCTAATTCAATATAAAAGCTACATAAGTACTTATCACATTGTATTTTTTAGGGAGTAATGTGAAGGAAAAAAACTCTTTGCATGTTCAATACATACATGATTTTTTAACACATACACAATCCATAGTTGAATCCATGGATGTAGAACTCACAGATATAGAGGGATGACTATTTTAAATTAAATGAGCTTTACAGTCTAAGAAGAAAAGCAAAATTGACATATTTTGGATTGCTGTTATTTTCACTGATGATTTATTTAGCCTAATTCCTACATTAGATGCTTTCAGTTAATTTACTTCCTCACTTTTTATGTTCTCATCCAAATTCATTTTGGGCAATCTACACCAATGCCTGAAGCATACAGGTCTATTTTAATACTGTTTTCTTTCTTTATAATGAGCCTGATCAGCATCTACACACAATTGGGCATCTATATTGTTTATATGCATGTACTGAACATAGACGTTGCTATACTGGTACATCTACATCAAAAAAACCCTGAGATTTAGAAATCATTTACTACAAAAGACCCAAAATACTAATAGGTATTTATAAATATAAATCTATTCATAAAAGTATTAACACACAAACCAATTTGCTACCTTGCAACCATTTCTATTTGTTATGTAAAAAATTTAGTATAAAATCAAGTTACATCAAATTATGGCATATATATATGAATATATATACATATATTCATAGACTTTACATGGCATAATTAAAAAATAACTTCCATGAAATTAAAAAAACAAGTCATGTGTGGTTCGCTAAGTAGAATAAAAACCATTATACCTCATTGCGAAACTAAAACACAAAACAACGTGGGTAAGAACTAAGTGTGATGAAATGATAGATAAGATGCACTGCAGAAGCAGCGAACTGTGGTATCAAGCACAGTGACCTCCGTATCAGGAAACATAGTCATAGTCCTGGATGGCATAACTTGCAGCACGTCTAACAACTCTTAAATTCTTTGGGACTTGTTTGTCACTTTTTTAAATTAAGGAAAATAAATGTATGTATGTATAAGGAAACAGAAATATCTGTTAAGTTTACAATTCTATGGAAAATATAGCCATCTAGCCAGCAACAAGCTATAAGTCAGGAAAGATAAAGGGGAGGAGGGGGGCACACAATGTTATTCACATCCCATACACAAACATCAAACTTTAATTCAACCAAATGGGGAAGATGCACAAAGTCCTCCCTCACCATCCACCCTTCCCCATCCCTAGCTCCTGTTCTGCTTTTAAAATAAGTTACGATGAAATTAATAAATGCTTACTGAATGAAGAACATTTCCAAGAAAAGAAAATTTTCAATTTCAATGGAAAGGTGGGAAAAAGAAAGCACCATAATTTTTCCCATGTGTAAAGTTGATCAACAGGAGAGGCAAACAGGTCAAGCCCTAAAAGAATGAACTGCAAAACAAAGTAAAGTAAAAACAGCAGTAAGGAAGGAAGAACTACGCACTTCACTTATTAGCTTACCTTTGTCATTTCCTAACACCATCTGCACAGAGTAAATTACCACAAAAGCCTGGGCTAGGAAGTCGTATTAATTGTGCAGATGGTTTAATCTATTGCTTGGCATGCAGGTAACCCCATCAATATCTCTAAGTTATCCTACAGTCTTCAGTAGAAATACTACACGGCAATGGGTGGTCCTTCAGCGTCTCTAAGAATGACTCTCTGAAAGCTGGCAGTTACTCTCAGAATTTGAGGTTTATCAGGCTAACCTACCTGCCTCTTTTAGCACTTCTTCAATATGTAACTTTTGCCTGATTTGATTCATATCTTGAGACTTCTGCTGAAAATGTGTAAGCTGTGAACTTTTCCAGGCATGGTCTTGCAGATGAGAGGGAACTGGGGACCCAAGGAGATTCAGGCAACAGAGGGAAAGGACTGCAGTGCACTGCCAACACCTAATGAACACTGTTGCATCAGCTGGAATGGAATGTGAAGGTCATTACTTTAGCGTGGACCTAAGGAACTGTACCCGTTCAAGTACCAAACAAGAACTGACATAAAGGCTAGCAGTGAAGAACCCAGAGAGAGCCAAAGTGAACCTTATGTGGAAGCTCTTCATTTACACCCAAGGGAAGCACACGTGCAGGACTCACCACACCAGAAATACAGACCACGAAACTAAACCCAAATAGAAACCACAGGAAAGCTACAAAGGTGTTAAAAATAGTATTAAAATGGCTGAAGTGATATGGCAAAATTATGCAACTTAAAGTTTTTAGCCACATCCACTTATAAAAGCCATTCTTTGAGATTTTTTTCTAAAACCCGTAACATTTTAAAACTACATTGAAGTAGCCAGTGATACAGCTCAGCAGCAAAGTGCCTGCCTGGCAAGTGCAAGGTCCTGAGTTCGATTCCCGAATAAAACAAAAATAACTACATTTATAAAACACATCAATTCAAAAATCAAATGATTTAAATGTCAGTCAACAGTTAATGACATTAATAGGTCTGAAACTCCTTTACATATAATTTTCACTAAAATATCTCACTGTGTAAGTTTCACAGAAGGACTTAAAAGTGACAAACACCTATTCATTTTAAAACGGAAGGACTACAAAGTGACAAACACCTATTCATTTTATTAAATACAATCCTGAAATGTTAAGTAGGCATTACAGATTCTAAGAAATTACATTTCAGAGTCCCCAAATGTCCTGTTGGTGTTCTGACAAGTAAACTGATGTTTTAAAGGACTTACTTTAATTTTTTAAAAAAGGCAACAATTTGGGAATACAAAATAAGTAAAATCCAAAACTTCAAAATGTACTGAAAGTTGTTCTGAATTCCTAAGGTGGCTGTAAACTGTGTTTAAAAGTTCGTAGCTTAAAGGAATGTGAGGATCACAGTTTATGTCAGTTTCCGCTGAAGAAGCCCAGCAATGCTACACAGTAGTTTCATGTTTCCATAACCCGGTCCTAACATTGCCAGTGCTATCGGTACTGAGCAGGGTCCCCTCCTGCCCATTGCTTTTCATTGGTCCGTTCTGAATGGCCAAGTTGAGGCCGTAAGACTTCTGCTGACTTTCAAGTTCAACTACAGTTGGCTTCCTTACTGCATCTTTCTTACTACTCGTTGAAGGAGGCTTTTCGAAATTCCGGCTGCTTTTGGGAAGTGTGTTACAAGCATCACTGCTGTCCTGTTGGGGTGGGTTGTACTGCCTCTCTCTGTAGGCTAAGTAAGCCCTCCGACTCCTAGAATGTCCCTCATTATTGCCCAGCCGACTCTTGGGTAAGCCATTCTGCACACTGCCCTCCACACTCGTGGGAACATCGTAGGCATATTCTCGGAGGACGGTGAGTCGGCTAGCCCGGTGCCCTTTGCTCCGGTTTTTATGATGGCGGCCTGAGTGCACATTTGTTCGAAACTGCACGTCTAACGGCGCCACATGCATTTTGATATCATTGTCCACTGAATGTTCTGTGAGACTGTTATCAAGCTGAGGGTTGGAGTTCAAAGGTAAGGAATTGGTGTGGCACTGTGCTGCCGCAGCCTGCAAGTTTGTTAGCTTACAGCCCTGGGAGGAATTTTTGAAGCTCGAGGCACTCTTGTTTGTACATGAGGACTCCGCACTGCTGTTGGTGCACTTTGCTGCATCTCCATTTGTCCCACTGGAGTTGGGGGGCTGGACGTTGACTTGCACTGAGTACGAACTCCGTCCAGGGCAGCAGGTCATGATCCACGCAAGTCTGACGTCCTCCCTGCTCACACAATGGTGAACCATGATGAATGCACTGAAGGTTAAACATGTGGCTCCAAAAAAGAAGCTAAAAACCAGGTCCAAAGGGTGATACAAAGACACAGCCAAGGCCCCAAACATCCACAAAGCGATGTATAAGAGCAGAGTCAGACTGGCTCCCACGAGCTGAGACTGAAAAGTGTGCTCGTTCTCCAGTGCTGATGTAGAAATCAGGGACAAAGACATTGAATCCTGATGATTTATTTCACCATTTTCATTGACTGCCAATCTCTGTTGCTCCTCCGTAGGCTCCTTGAGCTCATATTTGCGCTCCGGGTGTCTTTTCAGCTGAATAAATATGCTTAGGAAGTACATACAGTTTACAAAAGTAATGAAGCTGGCAGGTCCATAGAAGGCTCCCAAAGAGGGTTCCCAGGCCATCCAGCAACTAGAACAGAACATGGTGCACCAGATCAGACGCTATGCACTTCACCCAACTAAGGAATTTCAATAAAATGCAGTGTCTAGAAAATACTTAAAGAGAAGCAACTGGGTCGAGTACACGGAGAATACAAAATACTCACTAGGGCGCACTTGGCCGGCTGCCGTAATTCTTGATGTTTGCTGCGGCTGTTATGCCGCAAACTATAATGGGGATCCCACCACCAATCAAATAGAACCTACAAGGAGGAAAAATGCGAACAACTGCTCATTATTCTACATTTTTTGAGGTATATGAATTGCAGCATTTCAATATATCAGAATGTATTCCTTGAAGATTATTTTTTTAAGCAGTAACGTATTTCTGTTTTGCTTTGCTTTTTAGATTTCTTTTTTAAAACTATAAGGCCCAGGAAATTTCTGAGCTGAGGAAACCTGGTCAGCTCCTGCCACCTTGTGGCTATGTAGAAGAACACTCAGCATGTAGAAGTCTAGCTTCATTTTAGTTTTGGAGGCTTTTAGATTCAGCTGGTGAACTGGAAATTTGGTCCATTATGAAACAGACATTAACATTTCACTGTGCTGGAGTTCATACGCAAAAACGTAGTAATATATGAGTACTATTAATGTTTAGCTAAGCCTGTATATTCCAGGCCATCTGTGTGTATTGTATCCCCCACCTCCACAGAATTAAACTGGGGGGTATCTGGACCTCAAAAGTTTCAGACTCCTTTCCTGTGGATAAGCTGAGACAGCCAAGAACACAGAGGTGCAGTAGAAGTGTGAGTGGCAAGGCAGTGACTGGTCCTACCAAGATAACTTTGTGGCTTGAATATCGCTGAGCTCTCTGAAAAGAGCTTTCTGCCCTGGCTGGATACGCCTGGGTACAGTCAGAATCTTACCCTGTCTGAGAAACAGCCCTGAATCTTGAATGGTTGGATAAAGGCGATGTTTATGACATGTTACTCCACGTAGCATGGCTTGTCCATCATACGCTTACCAAAATCCTTAAAGGTGATGTTAGTATTGCTGAAGACACCATGTAAAACCAGAACCATGCCTTCTACGTCAGGACAAAGGGAAACCAAGTGTGCAAACTTCCTTCCTCTTACCTCTTAGTAATTCCCATCTGCTTTTTACCTGGAACATAAGCATCCTTTCCAAATGCATCTAGGCTTCTGTCATCTTCACAGTTCTTTCTGTGCTCAGAAACTCCAATACCAATGAACTCTTATTGTACTACTTAAAAATCTCCTGCAGTACTCCCTTTTACTTTTAGTTTAAATTCATTTAAAGTTTCCCTCATCTTCTAAGACTTTTCTTGAACTATCACCTTCTTTTGCTCTACCCTCTGTTTCCAACTCCTAAAAACAGGTAGTTAACACCTGCCTTGCTTCCACCCCACACTGTGATGCCACGGCTGCCTCCGAGGATCAAGAGAAACTCTCAAGCTGCCCTTGCCAACCTTCACAAAGCAGTGTTGCTTGGTATCATAGTTAACTAGGGTGTCGACCCGAATAAGAAACACCTAGCAGATTGGTTTAGCACAGTTCTGCATGTGTCTGGACGATCGACTTACTGAAGACAGAAGGTCCACCCTCAGTGTAGGTGCCACCAACCAATAGGCTTATAGCCTGGAGGTAATAAAAAGGGCAAGAAGGAAGCCTGGCTTCTGCTTCTTTGGAGGAACTCCTGTCTTTGCAGTCACCTTTGACAACTGTGTCCAGGCTTGCAGGCTCTTCAGCCTTGCAGTGCAGATGCCCCCTACCCCACCTCCCAGCTTTCTGACAGCCTCGAATGCAGTCTTTGACCTCTGACTGGATCTTCCAGCTCTTTAGCACACAGACTGCCTTTCTGCATCCTTCCACACCTGACTCTACAGGTGGCCACTGTAAGCCTACCTTGTAAATCCTTATGTATTTGGGCTTCCTTAAGCTCCACACCCTGGGAAAGGAGGGGACCAGTCCTAGTGGGTGGAGCTGGCTAAAGCAAAGGGGTCCATGCTGAGGTAGGCCATTCCGGGGATGCATAGGGTTTGGAGCTGCTCTTTATGTTTCTTCTCAGAACTGATCAATGATGAATAGTTGCTAAATGATGGGATTCTCAGGCCCCTTAGTCAAACACTCTCTTGCACGCATCTTTAACACTAGTGACATCTTTAACACTAGTGACAAAGGTGTCACATATCATCCTACCACGTAACTCTGCAGAGGCCGAGCACCCCTGCAGCTCCTTATCCTCCATGGAACCACTCTCCCCTAGAATCCTCTACATCATCAGGTGTTCTCCGTCGTTTCTGCCAACGACTGTTTTCCACAGCCTATGAAACACAGACGTGGCCCAAGCTTCACTCTTTTCTTAACTCACTTCTCTCCAGGGGATCTTGTTCCTTATCCTGGCTTCCATTACAGCACATGGAACTGCCTTTTTTGTCTACACACTGTCAAGCTGCTGAGGGCTGGACTTCCCAAAAATGCACATGTTCCAAAAGAAGGCACTGGTAAGCTCCAGGACCCTGGCGAAAAGGGTACTAGCCCTAGTGGGGACCTTGCCTGGGCTTACCTCCATGCCCCTCACCCTTTCTCTTTTTCTTACAGTGTTTTCCAAGTTGATGGAAATAATATCTTTCAAGAAACTTTATCTTCAGTTTCTCATCTTAAGTCCAACTGGTCATCTATCCTAGAGAAAGTAACCCACACCTCTTAAATGTGTCTTCCTCTCTATTCTCCGTGATACTCTTCTGGCTTCAGTTCTCACAGGGAGAATCCTAATGATCTCTGAGGAATACCTTGTTTCTGGGGCAGTGGTGGTGAACCTATGGCACGTGTGCCGCAGCAGGCAGTTTGTTATCACTAAAAGCTCTAAAAGGTTCGCCATCACTATTCTATGGCATTCCAATTTCTGCACCACACCAATGCCATTCCACCTCTCTAAAATGACACCATGGCTGCACACATTCTAATAAGGTCCAGTTTTCCCCCTGAAATTCCTGCTCCTCAATCCTATACATCCTAGGATCCCGCCAGGCTGCACCTCGCAGGTTTCTCAGCTTGCTTTCCTCTAGGGTGCCCCTCCACCCTTTGCTTTCATCACAAAGCAATGTCCTAGTGGCTCAAACTCATAGCTCCTTTCTCAGTGCTTCCAAGGACTTCCTGTAGTTCTCCTTCTGGACCTTAAACTCCTTAAGGGCAGGGAGAACACTTTCACTCCCTAGCCCAGGGCCAGGTAAAGACCAGGCATTTGAAATTCTGCCACTGCAGATGTGGCTTTTACACCTCTAGCAAGATTTTTAATCTATTTACATTTTTTTTATTATAATGGGTAAGAGGGCCATGATTCCAAATCCACTTTATCTTGTGTAGAGAATAATTAAGTAGATTCTCTCCTGAAGAAATTAAAAACATGACATATGACCTCAAGGAACTAGAAGGTTAACTTCTCAGATAGCCTGCTACAGAGGCAGTATCATCTTAGGTGTTTTGCACGTTAATGCATTCATTCTTCCCAAAAGCTCTACAAATGGAGTTATCCTTTGTAGAGAGGAGCTCAGAGACACAGCGAGGGTAGAGAAGCAGGCGAAGACTTACAGCAGGGAGGATGGGTAACCCCCAGTCAAAACCAAGCAGTATGGCTTACAGGTCCATCTTTTTACTACTCAAAGGACACTTGCCAATTTTTGTGTTGTAATTTACAACTATGCTTCAACTAAAGTAAAGCAAACAGTTAATGAACACTGAACACAACGAAGATATTACATACCTGAGCATTGGTCTTGGAGGAGGGGGAGGTTCGTCAGGATCCTGGCATCTTTTAGCTTTTTTAGTGACTTGTTTATAGATATTTCGAGCAGTCACTCCCACCCACAGTACAGTGGCAAGGGTGGAATAATGAAGAATTATTCCAACCTACAAGGAAGATTGACGAATGTATATAAATTAATGAAAATATATTTTAACAAGTTTGATTAAAGCACAATGCAAAGGCTATTTCAATGATCAACTTTTTTACCTGCTAATACAATAAAGCACTTTTAACAAATGATCGCAATACACAAACCAACAGCTAGATCTGGCAGGTCCACAGACTACCAGGCACACTCAAGACGACCTGTAACGCAGCACAGCACTGGCTTCTCAACAGCACGAACCCAACGGCATGCTTTCCACAGATGTAACGGCACAAATACAGTTCAGTTTCTAGCAACCACTTTACGGGAAAACGCAGAGAGAAAGGGTAACTACAAGCTGAGAGCCACAGCACACAGAGAGTATGTGGATTAACTCTGCACTGCTGATAAGGCTTTTACTCCCCTAGCAGGATTCTTGATCTACTTACAGTTTTCTTTATTATACTGGGTACGAAGGCCATGACCCCAAATCCACTTCACCTTGTGTAAAGAATAATTAAGTGGATTCTTAACAGAGAGTATGTTTTAGGTAAGAGACCTGAGTTCTGACTCAGACTTCCATTCTGGTAAGAAAGCAACACAATGTAATGATGATTAAAATGATGAACTCAGGAATAAAAATTTGCCTGATTTTAAAACTGTATCTACCTCTTATCTGCTGTGTGATCTACACAAAGTCATACAGTATCTTAAGCACTAACCTCCTCATTTGGAGAATGTCATATTGCAAAAATAATGTGATCTCTCTAGAATTGAGTTTCCTCAATATGACAGTGGGATTACTCTCAAGAGACCGCTCTAGGGGGTTTGTAGGGAATGAACAGTAATGGAATCTGGGATACACTAAACGTTCAATAGAGGACATGTGAAATGTACATAAATGATTATGCTAATTGAGTTTTTTTCCAAGAGATGATAGCAGGAATGCTTATCATATGATCTGTATATAAAGCAATGCTAGTTGAGGACCAAATTCCAGCTAAAAATATGAGAGGTGATAAAAGCAATTTAAAAAATAATTTTAAGTCTCTAGGCATGGGGGTGCATGCCTGTAACCCCAGCACTAGGGAGGCTGAGGCAGGAGGATCGCCATGAATTCAAGGACAGCTCTGGGCTACACAGTGAGTTCAAGGACAGCCAGAGCTACATAGTGAGACCCTGACTAAAAATGAAAAGTAAAAGTTAAAAAAAATTTAAGGAAAATAGATGTCATGTTTCAGAAATGTATCAAGAACATAACCCAGTTTTCTTAACTGATGACTTACTGTTGTTTTGGATATTCTTTTTCTTATGCAAATATTACAAGTAAAATTCTAGTAATGAAAGTCTTCAGGCAAAAAGTTCTTTTTTTTTTTGTTTGTTTGTTTTTTTGTTGTTGTTTTGTTTTTCTCCGGTACCGGGAACCCAGGCAAAAAGTTCTTATTTTAAAGAGATGGTTCTCCAATCCTAAGAAAATCAAATGAGCTGACCTTATCAGACCTACGTCAAAAACAAAAGCATGTATGCCATTCTCCAGAGTTTAATGAGAATCCCTCTACAGCTAAACCTTGGTGAGATAAAGCTTTATCAGCAGAGGAAACAATAAGGGTAGCCACTGTCCAGGGTAAATGTCACTAGACTGGTAGTCGGGAGGGTGGATCCAGCTTGCCCAAACGACAAAAGCCGGAAGTCATCTTCTGCCTAAAGAGATAAGCCACTCCATGGTCTCCATTAGTTTTGCTGACTGTAGTATAAAAGTAAAATTTATAGACAGAAGTGGAACAAAAAGCATAAAATAGCCCTTTGAGCTATCTGAAGTCACACCAGACACTGTAAGTAAAAATAGTATAAATGAATTTGGTGCACAGAAACCAGTAAATTCAAGACAACTCATTGATTTGGATTCTACCATCGCTGGAGTTTTCTTTGATACAGAGGTGAAAAGAATGAGACAGAACTTTAAAATACATTAAACTACATATGTTTGAAACATAGCAGGGGCAAGATGGAGAGCTTCCTAAGTGCAGTAACTGATATTTTAGGGTCTGAAGTGCTTTCTATAGCACTTCTATATTTTTCAAAAAACATTCTCCCCTTTTTTTCTTCAACAGTGAGGTTTAAACTCAGGGTCTTTACACTGAGCTTCACCCCCAGTTCTGTTTTATTTTTTGTTTAGAGGTAGGATCTTGCTAAGTTGCCCCAATGGACTTAAACCTGCAATCCTCCTGCCTCAGTTTTCCAGAGTGCCGGGACTACAGAGAATCACTCTTCAGATTACGGAAGCCTTTCTGTTAAATGCTTATAACCAACAGAGAATTTTAGGAGTCTGATGACCTCTGCTAAGACAGTCATATAAGCAAATCACTCAACATTTTATAAGAACTAGAAAAATGAAGGAATTAAGATGCAGTAATGAGGACTTCTTATGGTACTTTCCACCACGTGAGCTATGTATGAAATACAATCTCCCTGTCACAAATAAATCAGATCCATGTGGAAAAGTAAATATTTTGGAAGCAATCTAATACACAGGGTAAGAAAACTACTACTTAGATGCAATGGATTATTGCTTAAGAAAGCCACCTTACCTCCAGACAATAATTTAGATATAAAGTAATTATCCTAAATAGAGCTGCACTTACTTATTTTTTTTAGATAGGGTCTCACTGTGTAGTACAAGTTGGCCTTGAGTTCACTATGTAGCTCAGGCTGGCCTCAAACTCAGGGAGCTCCTCCTGCTTCAGCCTCTCAAGTTCTGAGATTAGAGGCATAAGCCACCATGCCCAGCAAACTGCACTTTAGATATGTATTTCCTCAGCATAAATAACTCATATCCTGAAGTTTTTTAAGCTATCAATAATCTAAGACAGGGCAGCACGCCCAGCAATTATTTGTGAGAAAGACCTTTACAACAAGTTATATATAAACATACAAAAACTAAAATAATTACAGCTTGCATTAGTGAATGACTATGAGATGTACAAATATACAGTTTTGTGTGTGAATTTACTCTGTCTTCTTAAGCATCACTGGTTGGTCAGCATTATTAACCTTGAGCTACATATAGACCCACAGGCTGAGGCTAAGAGAGTTCTCTGAATAACAGATGTAAGAGGATACCTGAGGAGGGCAGCTGGCAGTACGTTTAACAGATAAATCACTGAGTTGGCAGAGCAACAGCCAAATCCCTTTACTGCGTAGCTGTGAAAATCAAGGACCAGGAAATGAACAATTAGTTGGCAGCACACCGTGACCAGGAACTCAGATCCCTCCCGGTCTGGAGCCAACGGCCTCCTCTACTCCTTCACCCAGCCTGTGAGCTCTCCTCCAGCTCCTCCTGCAAGAGTCAAAGCCCGTGGAGAGCACGGGAACTGAATGCGGAAAGGGTGTGGGGCTGTTTGATTTAGCCAGGCTGACCCATTACTGTGTAGGAAAGACTTCTGGCCCCAACAGAACAAGGCATTCTTGGTGCCCACCTACTAGGATCTGAAATCCTCAACCAGTCCTTTTTGCATTCCACCCCTCTGCTCTCAGCTGACTATTAACTCAATTAAATGTCTTAACTAAGGTTTGAGTCAAAAGCAATGTTATGTCTTTCAAAGAAGGGGAGGGTATTGTAAAAAAGGAAGAAAATTAACAGGTAGAACCATCTAGAGACAGGTCTTTTCCTTTTCTTACGTAAACCTTTAACTAATGGGCATTTGTTCTCCAGGCCCTAAGAAGTCCATGCAATTCCTTTCCTTTTCACTTTAGAAATGGTATAAAACAGCACTCCGCACAATGAAACGCAGTCATCTTTACAATGGCCTCTTCCTATTCATTTCCTTAATGAAATAAATTAATGTGTCTGCTTCAAGAAATCAATGAATATTTTTAGACCTAATTGAGACCATTAGTACCCATGTGTGCTGTATATTCTTCTAACAGAGCCTAGGCTCACAACAGCTCTCAGGGTGAATGATTTCTACTATCTGCAAACTTGGGCTTCTTTGTACTCATAGATAAAATCTGCTGAGCGCCTACGAGGGGTCAAGTCCTGCGGTGGTCCCTGCATAAATGTGGGTCAACCAAATTGACATAATTATTGTTTGAGAGAGTTTAGAGTCCAGAGATAATAAGTAGGAAGGTGTAGAGTTTTGAAGGTACCATGGAATTTTAGTAAGCGCCAGAACAGTGGGAAGTGATGGACAGTATTCCTGAAATCTTAACAAATGACACTTTCAAGGTTAATGAGAAGCAGCCATATGAGGATGAAAAATCTAAGTGCACAGAAGTTAGGTCTGTATCCACGCGTTAAGTTGATCTGAGAACGCTTATCTGACTTCTTGTAGGCTCTAAGTCAAAATTTGCTTTCCAAATGTATAGTAATGGGGGCAAACAAAGGAACACACAAAATTACTGCACAACTGAGAGATGACTGTGGCAGTGAAGAATAGTACCACAGTACTGTACGCTTGCTACTACTCAGACCATGGAATCGTTTACTCCTCTCAACAATTCCTAGAAAACTACACACATTTGAAACCGGCTCTCAGGTATATGATGCCGGATTACTCATAAGCATCAGGCTCATGACACATGTAATGACTGGCTGGGTGAAGCATGGCCTGCCTTTATTTAGTTATCTAATTACAGTGGTTGCTAATAATATAGTACGCATCCAAGAATTTACCAGCAAGACAAAAGTTACCATCTTGTAAACAACCTATACCTAACCATATGCCCTCCACATTCAAGAAAATCCTCATCCTCTATTCTGTGTTCTTCTTGGTCTTTTTCATACAGATTAGTGCACTTATTGTTAAAGGTATGCTGCCTATTTTAGTTATTTTTATTTTTTAAAAAAAAGGTATCAGGGTAAATGCGATTTTTGAGACTTGCATTTTTTACCTGAGACTCATTGGTGCTATTCTACATTGCTATAATTTACTTGTTTTGACCCCGCTATGCAGTCTTTGTTTATTCTCTGTGATGGGCATCTGAGTTGCTTCCAGGTTTTAGCCACGGTACATACTGACATGATGAATACTCACATCCATGCACAAGGGAAAGGTTACTCATAGGGTCTGCGAGGGGGACTGCTGAGCTCCAGGGTATGTGAGTGGTTTACCTTAGAAGGTACAGACTCCCACAATACACAACGTACAACCACTAACATCTCCACCAACACCATATCCAACAGCCACATTTTTGTCAATACTTGGTGCTACCAGGCTTAGTTTCTGCCATCACGAAAAGCATTAAGGTGGTAATCACTTGTTACATTGGCAGTGTTAACACCACCAACAGCGCTGGACCTCTCTGCCTGCACTTTCTGGCCCTGTGTGCTTCCTCTTCCGTGCAATGCCTGTCCACTCTCTTGCCACTTCTGCTGGGCACCCATGGCTCACACTCATGATTACAATGATCAATTTAGTATTTATCCCAACGCTCTTCTCAGCTGTTTGATATCTTCTTCCAATTTGTAACCTGCCTTCTCACAGCCTTTAAGGACTCTTCATAAATAAAAGTTCTTTTTCTTAGTCAAATTCATTTCTTTTCTAGTGAATGCCTTTTACAGTTTTATTTTTAAAAAATCTTTCCTTATTCCAAGATGTGTGACATTTACTCTAAAAAAAATTTAAGATTTTGTTGTGGACATGTAAGTTTTTAATCCACCCAGAACTGACTTTTTGTTTTGCTTTCAACACAAAATGAGATATAGATCCTTTAAATCTCTTTCCAAGTTCGTCTTCCCCAAATCCATTTGGTCATAGTGCTCTGCACAGCCGATGATGTTTGTGTGCCATCTCTTCCAGAGCCCAAGTTCCGCCAGGGTCTGTGTCTGGACTCTACACCACCATGCTGGTCAGTTCAGCTACGGGCACCTGAGCTAAGCATCACCCAGCACCTTAAGCCGGGGTGACGCGTAGTACGCTTCCCGCTCTCCTCCTCCTTCTCAGCAGTATCTGGGCTTTCTTTCACCCTTCACTTTCAGATAAACTTAAAAGTCATCAAGGTTCATGAAAAATTCTTTTTATGGATGAATTAATTGAGGAAGATCTGCCTGGCTTCTGATAATAAGTCTTTCTATCTTTGGATCTGGAATTTCTTTCCATGTATGTAGGTCTTTTGACCTGAAAATCTCAAACATATTATCTCCAGGTACTTGATAGTCTTTGATATTGTGGAAATGGTCTCATCTTATCCATTGTGCTTTCTCAGGGCTGCATTTCAGCAAACTTTTGTATGTTACACTTTCATGCAATCTCCGAACTTTTTTGTGCAAACTCCTTAGGGTGTTTTCATGTAAATAACTGAATTATCCAACAACAATTCAATTATTCTCAATGGACAAGGGAGGACACTCAGATTTAAACAGATTAAATAATAAAATGAGGATCTTGGAGAAATATCTACACTCCAAGTTCATTACAGTGTTCTTCATAATGGCCAAGTGGTAAAAACAATCTGTAATAAGGAAAGTAACATGGAATACTATTCAGCCATTAATAGGAAATCTTGTCATATGCTACAACACACATAAATCTTCAGGATTTCTAAGTTAAAAGAGCCAATCACTTATGTGCAGTGCCCACAGTACTCAAATTCACAGGAGCACAGAGCTGTTAGGGCCTTGAGGGAGAAGAAAATGAGAAGCTGTGATTCAGGGGGTATGAAGTTGATACATGGTCATACAAGATAAAAAAGTTCTACACATCCTGTGCCCAATAGTGTGTTTATAATTACTATAGTACTGTACACTGACCAATTTCCAAAGAGAGTAAATCTAATGTGTTTTCTGCTACAATTTGAAAAGAAAAAGGTTAAACTTCTCATAAAGACACAACCAGTAAATGGAAGATCTGCGAGGTAAATCCAGGCGGTCAGAACTCTTAATTTTTATGTCATACTGTATTTATTCATACAGAAAACAACACACAAATATGGAAATAAAATTCTATGTACTTCTTACTCATATTACAGTGTTTTAATGTTTTATGTCTGTATTGCAGGAATATTGTTCAGTAACAGTGTGTATATAAGGGTTTATGTGAAAACACGATTGAAGACTTAATTCTTTGTATTTATTGAGCCTCATGTTTATCTTTCCATAATTCCTTTTCATCGCTGAATGAAGTAATTTTGAAAACCCCACTGTCAGAAAATGTCACTACTCTTTCAGTTAAAGTCAGAATTGTACAAATGTTTCAATTAACTGTTAGGCACTGCAGCAGACATGACAACTAATGCTCCATTTCCAGGGATAAAGAGACAAGCCAGTACAGTTAGGTATTCAGCTGTGAAATGATAATTTAAAACTTGAAGCACAAAACTGTTTAAGGGACAGGCATTAGGCTTAACTTTAATTAAAGAAAAGACTTTAAAAAAACATTTCTGCTTTTGTATTTAATGAGACACGAAGTTATATTGTAATATTATTTTTTTTTTTCATTTCATTTTTTTGCTTTCACTTACTGCCTGGCAGACACTGGCATTTCTGGTCTGGGTTATTCCTCCCACGAAGACCACACAGGTCAGAAAAATATGGAAGCACAAGTTCACAAGCATGTGCCAGCTCTTGAGACTGATCCTAATCAAACTGGTAAAAATGAGACAATATTAATATTTAGTCTGGTGCATGTGAAAGAAGACATTATGATGTTCACCTACAGGTTAACTCTAACTACGAAAAGGAGAAACTTGTATTTTTATATTTAAACATTTTACTAATCAAACATACACACAGTATTGGAGAAGTCACTCAATACAGTTTAACATTTCACTTTAATATATTAAAAGAAAAATCATTTACAGAATCACTATATCTACTAAAGAATTTAACACATTTCAAGATGTGAGAGTACATACATCAATTCCCCATGATGAATCTATGTATTATATATTACTGCAAACATATACTATTGACCAGGAAAAAATGAAAACCAACAAAAAGTTAAAAAAAGATGTCTTGGTCTCCTTCCCTAGAGATGGAGGGAGGGAGGAGAGAGAGGAGGGAAGGGATGAAATCAACTGAGGTGTATTAGGTACACGCACCAACTTCCACAGGTGTTTGATATTCATTATGTACTAGGAACATATACTAAAGAACTCTTTACATACATTTTTTTTAAATCTTCCTACTAAAAAACATGTGCATTTTTGTTACTGATGCTGTCTTAAGACAACTGGATTACCTGAATGACTACCTAGAAATTTCTGCAGTGTGCCAATGGGTCTTTTTCCTGACTGCTAGAATAGCATGGTCTAAATGCCCAATGCATGTCTTCCTGGCATTTCATAATGAAATGTTGAAGTCTTTCTCTTTTTTAAAATATCAAAATCTCCTTTTGTTTCTTAACTAAATGTCAAGAAATGCCATATATGTCCAGTTTAAATAAGAAAATATGTTCTGGCAAAACCTTTTGTACAATGAATTCCTGCTCAGCAAATCCTTTCAGTTCATTATTTCCAGCCATAAAATAAAAGTTATGTAATTTTGCCTCCAATGAACAAAAACCATATCCCACACTTAACTGCCACAAACCTTCTTAAAAATGCTACTTATAAAATAAAGAATATCACAACTGGTAAAAAGTCAAAAAATAAAAGTCCTGCCACAGATTGCCACCTAGACATGGTTCTGTAGGTCCAACACGGTCCAAAACCTTCCTTCACACCCCCTTGCTCTGTGCACACCACCATCCTAGCCTCCAACACACACCTCTGTACCCTTCTCTAGACATAAGCCCAGAAAATGACTGGATCTGTGAAAGACGAGCTTATCACTTATATACTAATCATTCAAGTTTCTAATGGCATGAAATGAAGAAGGCTTTTATGTACTCCACTAGATGCACTGCTACTTTGGAAGCCTAGTATGGTATCAAACTTGGTTTTACTATAATTAAAGATAAAATGAAGTCCTCCACATCCAAACCCAGAGGTCTGCATGTGTCACACGTTCTCTCTTACCTGTGGTGGTACATGTAACTCACAATGATGGCCAAGAGACATAAGAGGAGAATGACAGCAGTAGTGTAAACCACTGGATGCAAAAGACTGGCGACCTGGGTATACAGTTCAGATCCTGTCAAATCCTGAGGGAGAAAACAAAGCAGTCATGCTAGCAGCACTTTTATCAACCGGAAGGATTTCCGTGAGTGACTGAAACACACTATTCAACAAAAACTCTGGTACTGACGCCTCTCTTTTATTTGAGAACTGATGTTTCTTGTTATCATCTTCATGCATAACTTTCTAGCTTCTCTTATTCATCAGAGGACTATCTTCTTTACAAGTCTGAATACTGTGCTGTCCAAGAGAAAGGGAATAGCAGGCCACATGTGGGTGACACAGAACAGCAACCAAAGCCACGTCCCTTCATGCCTTAAGAGTCTAATTATCAGGCTGCTTAGTCACCAATAGAGCAGGTACAACGGAAAGCGGTGTCTCCACGTCAGCAAAGCCAAACAAACCTCCCTCGTCACTGTACTTGTCAAGCCAGCTCCAAGTTCTCTAAACACAAAAGGGTCCCACAGGGTAAGGTACTGCAGGCATAATGTAAGTCATGGGTCCTCACCTTGCAGAGCTCAAAGCCACAGAGAAAACAGACTTACAATCAGATCCCCACAATGTATGATGAAGATACAAACAGTACAGTATGGAAGCAAAAGACATAGAATCATATATAGTTAAAAAAAAAAAAAAGCAACACCCACAAACAAAAACACCAAGTCATTTACATAGCACTGACTACACTGTAGGCAGTGACTATGTCCTGCAATTGACAGAGTAACCTTGGGAGGTAGGTGTATTACTGGCCTCATTTTATAGTTTGGAAAACAGAGACATAGGGAAGTGAAATGCTACAATGAGATCCAGAGGAGCTCGGCTGACGAGGCTGCGTTCTCAAACACAATGCAAAAACTGTTTCACTAAAATGAAAACAGTAGACATCGTAAGGCTACCTTTCATAGAAATGAACAGAGCAGACCAGGAAGACACTGCCACCACGCTTGCCATGGTGGCCAGGCCAGAAAATGGGTTGCGGGAGTCAAAGCTTTGGATCTGCCAGATCCCTTAATGACATTCTCTTTCTGCACTAACTTCTAATGCTGAAAAATGATGGCCGGATGTAGGGAGGAGTTCTTAGCAATGTACCTCTAATGAGAAAGCTCTTGACATGTATGAAACAGTAAAAGCTAAATGAAAAGGGAAGGAAACAGGTGACCAACAGGCCAGGAAAAGGAAGACAGCTTCAACGGAGTAGGGAGAGAAGGAGCCATGTTCCCAACGTTGACAACATGAAATTACAGATCAAAAAAAGATCACATCAGAACACCTTACAAATCCCTCACCTTAGTGAGAGATAAATAGTTAATGACAAAAATCTGACAGAAATCAAGTTAGGGGGAAGTGGAAGACAGGAGACCAGAAACTGAATTGCAACTTGAGCGTTCCCGTATACCACGGTAAGTCTCCAACTTGTAGTTCACCTGTTTAGATAAGAAACTTTACCTGGGTGCCCAAGCTACTATGCTAAGCACCAGATATACTAGAACAGGCGGAACACATTCCCATTGACTGGGGGAGCGCACAAACTAAGTACACAAAGGGGAAAACACAAGAGAAAGCCAGGGTGCCCACCATATTAGTCTATGCCACATGGCCTCAAGACATGCACATTCTGTTAAAATTCTAGAGTATTAGTATGAAAAGTTTTAAAATGTTGAAGCAATAAAAGCAGTGAGATACCATTAAAAATAGATATATTTTCCCTCGACTTCTATGAAAAGCTACCATGATGGTGCAGAATTAATATTTGAGGATAAACTTCCAATATCTAGGCTTTAGCCTCCAGACTCCTTTCATGCACTGCCTGCTTTAGATTCCTGGAGGAAATGTTCAATAGCACATTGCACTGGATAGCTGTACGAGAGGGCCATTACCTCGCCATAAAACAAGAGACCCACCAATCATCTCACAGGGTTTGAGGAAGGGGTGGGAGGAGGGTGTGTAAAGATGCCTTCCACAGCCCTTAGCAGATGGTAACAAAACACAGGGAGCAGAATGGTAGCTAATAAAGCATCAGACAGCATTCTGATTTAGTTCGCAGAATGTATCGTGCCTAACATTCAAGTTTAAAAGAAATCAGTATGTTTTCCAAAAACCAAATGCATGTGACCCAGAATGAGAAAGAAAGCAGGTATTAAAATAGGAGACAAGGCTTACAATTCCTCTGAACAAGTGGAAAATGTTATAAGCAAGCCCCTCTGTCCAGATCACTGAGGGCAATGATGCCACAGGTGTCCTGAGAGCTGCGCAGATGCGAAGACAGCCCTGTGGAAAAGCCTCAGGGAAATGTACGGAGAGCCAGACCGTAAATCTTTTAGGTTGTGTGAGCCATAAGGCTAATTTGAGCTATTATGCAAGTAGTTATTAACCATTCAGAACATCGCCATTAGAAAACATAAAAACCACTCTTGGCTCCCAGAATTCAAAGAAAGGAGTAAAAACATGAGAAATAAACCACAGTGCAGCTGGTAAGATTAAGCAGTACAAGAGAATACAAGAAGGTGGGTGGGACGGCACATGCGTACAATCCCAGCACTCTGAGAGGCTGAGGCACAAGAATCGCAAGTTTAAGCCCTGCCTAGGCAATATGGTGACTTAGTGAAAACTTGTCTAAAAAAAAGGAAAGACTATTTGAGACATTTGCAAAGATTAAGATAGCAACCACGTTAGATTTATAATGAATGATGAAGCAAAACCTGAGTCAAATTATGTACAATAATATTAGTAAATAATTACTGTCTGTGTTAAAATAAAACATTACTAAATGCATTGCATAAAAATGACAGAAGGAGATTCTTTGAAGAGGAAAAAGTAAAACTACGGCTCACATTTGCAACACAGGGACTAGTAAGACGGGCGTCCCCACCCGGGCTCTCGTAACATCGCAGCCTGGGGCTCGTGGTGACGATGGTATCTTTTACATGGCACCAAGCTGAAGAAGAAAACTAAGCAGGAAGTGAAAAATAACACTGAGCACAGAAGTGAACTACACAGATGCAGAGGAAAGCAGGACACCTGCAGTGTGGGAAAAGTCATGGAGATGATCATTAAGAAGGCTCCAAATAAAGGAGAAAGAGTCTCTAGAACACTTTACTTGACAGAGTAGCAAGAGGTACTTATAAGAGGTAATTCAAGCCCAAGGACTGCTAAATATAGAATAATGAAATTATTAAATAATTCATGACCATCGCACCAATAACAAGAATAATTAAAGTGAGCAATTATCTAAATTCACAGGGATCTGAACAAGAACAATCCAAAGAAAACATCTCCAGCCACTATTCTGTGTGTAAGAACACCCAAGAATTTTAAGAGTTTAGCAATAAGATTTTAAGGTAGATCTGAAATCAGAAATACAAGAAAAAAAATAACAATTATGACTGACTTCTGTGTTACTTTATGATCTCATTTTTGGGAGTAAAGAACAATAAATAAGGATTTTGATCTCCTTACCTCAAACTACAGATAAAATCAGCACTAGTCAAACTGTTGCCTACATGTGAAAACACATTAGGCCTACTCGAAGGAAACAAGATCCTCATGCGCCTAGGAGAGACTAAGGTTTCTTAGAGGAGGTAAGGAGAACTACAGAAAACAAAACACAAACCAAGATCAGATATTAGAAAATTATAAAACCATTCACGAAAAGATTAACAGAAACAGGACAAAGGCACAGGCTGAAAAAGACTATCTGCAATGCAGAAATCCAGCAAAGAGTAGATATTCAGAACTCATGTGCATTTGTAAGACTTTCATAAAAGGGAACACTAAACTATCAATAAGAAAATACAGAGATGCTTAACATTTTTAGGCACCAGAGAAGTGCAAACTAAAACCACAATGATGTATCACAGTACAGCCACAAAATCATGAATAGAAGTTGACTAAGGGTCTCAAGGAATTCTCATTACTGGGAGACTGTAAGGCAGTAAGACCACTGGGTGTACTGTGTGGCACTAACTCTAAAGGTGAGCACCTGGTCTACAACCTGGGTATTTTACTTCTGAGCACACATGTCCACCAAAAACATGTATGTGAATATTCAGAGCACATTTTTCTTGATAACCAAATGTCTGCACAACAAAATGGACAGATTGTGGTGTATTTGTTCAATGCATTAATATGAAGAGAAAAAGAATAAATTGTTGCTATGTGTAAAGACAAAGATAAGTCTCATCAATGTAATAAGAAAGAAACCAGACATAGCACAGACTGTACATTCCAATTATGTAAAGATTAAGAACATGCAAAATTTACCTATGGGGACAGGATCACAGGGGTATGCGGGAGGACATCTAAAACAGTGATGGCAACCAAACAGAAAGAAAACATGGGAGCTCATGGCTGCTCTAATACAAACTTTGATTTTGGTGGTAGCCAAATTTGTGTATCACATGTGAAAATACCAATAACCCATGCATGTAAGATCTGTGTCCTTTACTGAGCATCTCAGTTTAATGAAAGAGGAAAGAAGAGATGTTTCTTCCAAGTATCAGTTTCATTTTAGAGAAATTTATCCTGTAGCAATCCTATTAAGTATGCAAAATGGTATCACACAAGCAAGCACTATAGAGAAATATTTAAGCAAATTATGGTAGGGACATGAAGTAATATTCATAGGTAGGAAAGGAAAATGAGGAGCCTCTTTTACATCAGTATAGATTTTCAGAAAGGAGATTCCGCGAGGTGTTTAGGAACACAGATTCTGGAAACAGACTTCTGACTTTAAACCCTAATTTCAACATGTGTTTTGTGGGTGTGATGGTTAATCTTGATTGCTTGACTGGACTGGGAAACACCTAGGAAATTAGAAAAGCACACTTCTTGGTACCTCTGCGAGGGAATCTCCAGAGACAGTTGTCACGTGGGACAACACACCGATGGGGGAGACCTCCTTGACGTAGGCGGCACTATCCAGTAGTCTGTAGGCCCAGAGGGAACGAAACAGAAAGGAAGAAGCCCACAAACGCATGTTCTCGTCCCATGCTCTGCTTCCAGGCTCCCATAAGGTGAGCAGCTTTCCTCCCCCACATTCTTCTGCCTCTCCCAAAGCCTAAAAGCAGGGAGAGTCCGGCTGACCGCACACTCAAGCCCATGCATCTATGAGCCAAAACAAACCTTCCCTCCCGTAAGTTGTTATTCTCGGGTATTTTGTCACAGCGGTAGAGAGTTGAATGACATGCAGTTTGATCTCTCATCTCATTTTCCACATCTGTCACTTGGGGTGATAATAGCACTATTCCTCTTGAGGTTATTTTGACAACCAAGTATGTTAATGCACATAAAGACATCAGAGGAAAGCCTGACGTGTCAGTGCTTAATAAAGATTAGCCACCACTTCTACCAGGAACTCCTTTAAGATATATCATCCTCGAAGTTAAGATACATTCTTCCACGGAAAAATCATGGTTCAGAATAAAACATTATATGCAGCATACAACCCTTGTGTAAAAACTGGAGAAAGTAGGCCTTTATTATATTCACTATTTCAATATAAATGAAAATCTCTTTAACAATGTGCATGATGTTACTAATCACAATTACTGACAACCCTGATGGGAGACCAGGGGATTCAAGTTTCCACTGTACTTTAATGGGCAAAAACATCTGTGCTTGTGAATGTGCTATTCTAAAGCGGTTTAAACCAAAACATTAGTAGCTTTCATGGTCAATTATAGAGTAAATGAAACTGAAGTTTACTTTCATCCAGCAAGTTCTACATAAACAAATTTAAAAGCATCACCAAACAGAGAAGAAGAAATAAGTCTTCTTTAGTCTCTATTTCTAGGTGAATGCAATAACAGTGGGGAAACCAAAGTACAGAGATTATTTTACTTTCAACACTATTACCAGTTAAAACAGAGTTTTATGTAGTTTAGCTTTAATTAGATTACCCTGCTTTCTCTTTAGCCTCTATACAGAAACACACACACATAAACACACTGATCCAAGCCTCTGTGAATCTTCCTGCCCCAAATGACTGTTTCTGATCATACTATTCAAACCAACCCAATTTCTACCTAACTTTTTTCCCTAACTCCCACTGAGGGCTTAGGACATAATTGGTTATAAAAGGATACACACTGAACCAACCATGTATCCGATCTAGAATTAAACCAAATATACCCTTTCAATCTCATTTGTAATACAAAATTTCCTAAGACCAGATCAGGGAAAGTTATACGAACTCTATCCCTAGATAGGAATTTAAACTTCTATATAAAATGATACATTAATATGGTATTCAAAACCAACAGAATTTTATTCATCATTTTAAAAAGTTTAGGAAAAAAGATGGCTTTACAATTTTAAAAGACATTTACTTTTAGGTATGCATAGTTTAATTAACTTTGTCTTTATGGTTAAAATTCCCATATACTAACTTTATTTTAAAAATAAAATTCCCATGTATTAACTATTTTAACTTTGTCAATAATTTCAGACACATTTCAGTTGCTGCCTCTAGGTGGCAGAGTTACATTTAAGAAAAGCAAAAATATTCTTTGGAAACAGAATAAAAATCTTAGTACTGTATTTTAAAGAATTATGTGTTACATTTTTTAAAAGATTAAAACTCTGAAAGATAAAAGAATAGCTTATTCCTTCTAGAAAAGGATTATACTAATTTAAATAGTTAAGAAGAACAGCTAAGAAGTTAAAAAAAATAGATGCTTAAAACCGGTACTAGATTAAATAAAAATAGTTTCACACGGTGCGATATCACAGCGAAGGTTATAAAATGCCTTTTTTGTGTTTCGCGGTTTTTTTACTTTGTTCAACTCTTTCTGGTTAACCATTATACACATTTCAAAATGGCATTTCTATTGTTTCTCCTTTAGCACATCAGTTTTAGGATTAAAAATCTGAATGAGAAAACTTTTAAAGTGAAAGCAAAAATGTTCCCAACACTTTAATTAATGCTTTGTGCTTTAATTCAAAAGGCAACTGCAGACTAACAAATATGAACTTAGAAAATGTGAACACCAAACTCACGGAAATCAGACACCTTTCATTTGTGAAGAGAATGATGAACGTTAAGCCCAAAAGGATAAATACCTTAAGCAAATACAACCGGGTCTAACTAATATGGAATTGAGCCACCACCAAGTAGAGTGGCTAACACCCATGCTCGAGAACACTGTGTGCAGCTGTACAAAATGCTTAGAAGGACATTAGTAAAACAATAACCTTGAATCCCTACTAAAGAATCAATACTCTTTGCTCCCTGCTTGGCCAATGTACCAGGTAAGATACAGAAAACTGAAAGCAAAGAAAACTAGAAAAACAGTTGAGGAAAATTTATTATAACCCAGACTCACTTTAAAATCATTTCTAGTGGCAAGACCATCTCAAGATAATTTCTTGTTCTTTCAAGAAAAGAAAAATCCACAAAATATAAAATACTATATACTGCTTCAAGACTATGTGGTACTCTGACAAAATATTGTCTAGACACCAGATTCACAGCTGGAACGAAATAAAAATGTGGGAGTTCTCATCTTCAGGCTAACCTCAAACCATTTCTGAGAAATGTCTTCCAGACTCCTAATTCCTTCCACTGTAGCCTAAATACACTTCATGGTGTTAGTAACATGTAATTACAATATAAAGTAACACCTTATGGCTAACTTCATAATTATCATCTCAGGAATCAGATCCATTTAAATGTGTCGTTATTAAAAAGACCTGTTCCTATACATTAAAAACAAGTTCATTTACCAAAAAGATTAATAGCAGGCAACAAAGGTAAATAGAAAACAACCTTAGATTGATTGGCATTAAAATTAAAGACACCATGTAGGTCAGTACTGTCATGCGCAGTCACAAAACTGAAACTATCACCATTAATTCTGAATTTAAAAGGAGTTTAATGATAGTGTGTAGTGGGAAAAGGCAACATCGAAGAAAACTATCTTTCCCCAGGTACTGAGCATCCTCGGGTAAATGAATGACTCTAGGTTGACAAAACAGGGCTGTAAAAGCCCATGATCTCCTATTTTAAGAAGACTAAAGTCTAGCTGAACTGACTTATAAAATTTACTGAAAATTCCTATATGAAATACAATCGCATACATTTCACTTGGTAATAACTCAATTTCCCTTTAAAATGAGAATTATACCAAACATCACCCCTTACATAATTACAGGGAGCAATTTCTGTCAAAAGTTTAAAAAAAGAAATCTTCATTTAAGTTTAATTATGCAAAGGGAAAAATTAGAATATTTAGTATTTATGCATAAAGTTAACAACTGTCATACCATTAAAACTGCATAGTTGCTTAGGGAGTAGCACTGAATTGTAGTGATATTTTCATCTGAGTAGAGTATACGGCACCCATCTGACTTCCAGCCTCCTTGTCCATTCAGCAAATCAAAATCCCACTGGGCTGCGACTGCATCTGCTCCATGCGCAATTCGACGCAGTGTCACATTAATAGGGATGTGGTGGGTATCTACATTCACACCATCTGGAGAAAATGAGAAATAACAGTATTTCTGAAACAAACTTCTTAAAGAATTAAATGTCAACTTATACACTAATGGGTACTCTGCTAGATCTTTTTTCACTAGTGACTCATTAAAATGAGAAGGAACAAGAATAAGCATTTTCAGGAACCGTGGACCATAAACGACACTGTCCAGTGAGTACAGAGGAACATATGCCGCATACGAACCTAACTTGGTGAGAATCACAGGGGTAACCACTGTACGCCGCTTTCCGTCATCAGCCAAGTTTGTTGAATTTCCAGTGGCTGGAAAAAGTTTCCCATTACGGAATGCAATGAGTTGAAGCTTGTAAAGAGAGTCTTCAGTTAGTCTGACTTCTCTTTTTTGCTTTGGTGAGAAAAGGGAAGGGGGAAGCTGAATAGAAGCCTCAATGACAGTGTTCTGAAAATATACATTAAAGAAAAGGTTAGCATATTAGTAGACAGAAACCAGAAAAATATCAGATGCTTATGTTTTTTATACTTACACATCAAATACATTTTTAAGAAATATACATACAAAATTTAATACTCGAAACAATTGATAAATTAACTAAAATATCCAAACAATACACGACTGCGTAGATCAGTCATGGCAAACCTTCTAGAGCTTTCAATGATAATGAAAAGCCAGCCGTGGCACTTGAGCCGCAGGTTTACCACCACTGACATAGATCAAAGAAGTATAAAGTATGGAGTGATAAAAATTTTATTAAATTTCATTGCTTCTATTAAGAAGTAAACAAAGGAATTATTTCAAAGTTAAATTTCCCATGATACCATATAATGCTGAAGTGCATAGTAGAATTAAACAGATCACGGACCGTAGTGATCATTCTTCATATCCACTTTACAGTGACAAAATATAGTAAAAATAAGGCCAAGTGTAGCGGATCAGAAATGTGAGGTTAATTTAGGCTTATAGAGCTTTAAGGTGGTTTACAATGGATTCAAATAGTCGAATAACACAAAACTGATATTATACAAACGTAGTATAAGTTTAAATTCAGCAGACTCTTAATTGAGCATCAATTTTCTTGAGACCGAGAAATATATGTTCGGAAAACATAGTCATATACAGGAAAAACTAAAAATGCTAACTGATCATTGAATCTTTTTCTGATTTCATTATTGGAGATTTTATATTCAGCATTAAATTTAGCATTCAAAAAAAAAAGGCTATATACTAAGTAGGCTAAAAATTAACTAAATTTATAAAGATTCTCTATTATAGGAATTTATTATAAAGTCTTTCTCTTGGCTACTAAGCCTCTTCCCTCCAAACCAGTGTTCATGTGGCCAATAGAATTTCCTCTCGAGAATCAAAGGCCATCATGTTATTCCAGTTGAAATAGCACCTTGGTTCTGCACTGTCTGAAGAACACTGTCCCTGAATCCTAAGTATACCATATAATTTGACTAAAACCTACTGCTCAAATGTATTGCCTATTCTAACTCTACCACAGCCACATGAGCTTCTCCGAGTTCTCCTCTGCCCTCCTCAGACTGCCCTGTATGGTGCACAGGCCACTGTCCCTCAATGGTCTTCAGCCTGACAAACTCTTCAACTCATCTGACTTGACTTTTGGCAAGATAATCCTGTTGGCAATGAAAAGGACAGGCCATAATGCGAAAGCAGGCAGCAGGAAACTTTTCCCTGAGTCCTAGGTTAACAGGGCTTCTTGGGACTATGAATCCCATCTTAAAATAGTTTGTTTGCATAGCTGGCTGGCTGGCCCCTCTTCTGGACTCACAGAGGGCTCTGTATATACCTGCATCCCAAGCAATCTTACAGTCTCAGCATGTAACTCACTCCTGCTCCCCTACTAGACGGGATTTCTGGCTGCAGACAATCTCATTCACGTTTTGGAACCCCTACATGCCTGGCACATGTACTTCATAAGAACAGTTCAGTTTATGAAATTAACAGGTCTCCATGGCATGTTTATTGATAAATACAAAATTCCACAGAAGTAAATACTTGATTTTAGAATTATTTAACTGACATGCTTGCATCAATCTGCAGACACAGGAGATACCTGTAAATACCTGTTGAATGCATTTTAGAAATTTAAATTTAACTTTATATTAAAGATTTGTAGGAAAACATCTAGTAGAACCAATTTGCCTAAGAACAAGCATTAAAAGGTTTCTGCTACTGTCACAAATATAACCTGATGCAGAAACAAAGTTCACTACAAGTTCATTTCTATGCAGTATATAAATTTCTCAAGTATACAATGAGGCACACAAGACGAAAAAACACAAAATACAGATGGACCAAAAAAGAAAAAGATCTAATTAGCTAAAAGTTCAAAATCCTGATAAAATGTTCCATGAGGGACATCTATTAAAACTTAAACACTACAAAATTCATAGAATAATTTATTACGAAAACAAAACAAACACAAAACAGATCTCTGGAAAGTACTTAAATCAAATTTATGTTTTAAAAATTCATTCCTAGTATGTTCTAGAAGAGAGCTAAAAAAGGAAACATTTGTACTGTGTAGAAATCAAAGCTCTGCTAGACAACTGTAAACTTACAAAATAACCAAAAACACAACAACAAGAAGCTCTAGATCACTGACAGGCCAGTGCAACACACCTATAGCTATTATATACTTATGGCTTCAAAATAGCTTCTCAAGTCCAATGAAGAATATTACTAAATAATTATAGATTCCTTGCAATGAGAGAGGGTGCCCTGGATGTTTTGTTAAGGCAAATTTCACTGTATCAACAACGTTTAGATTTTTATAGTAAGAACACAGTATAAACTTTCATGTTTCATTTCTTGAAAAGAAGTGTTAACCATTATTTATGGGAAGGTTGTAAATCTAACAAAAAAAATCAGTGAAGAGCATTTATTTGCTACATTTATCATAATTATACCTTGTGTCTCTTGGCCTAGAGGCAGGGAATATAGTTGTAACTTCATTTAACCATGTATTTATTTTAGAATGTATGGCTTATAGCAATGAGAAATATAAACACACTAATTATAGCTAATAAATTGGAAAGTTCTCCCTTAAGATTTTTGGGAAAATACATCCTCTTCATTTCTAATGTGAGATCTGAAATAAGAAAGCAAGACCCAGGGCCCACCCTGACGATTCGGGAGCTAGTTAACACTGCCCAAGTTTGTTTCATGTCTCTGGCTTTCACCTGTGAAACACAGCTAATGATTTTCCTAACAAATGGTGGTGAAGACCACATGGGATTATGGTCATGAGGTCATCATCAGCACCCAAGGCATTGAGTGGTGGGTGGTATTTTTATTATCATTACTATGGCAACATGGAAGGTGGATCTCTGGGTGCTGGGAAGAGAAAAAATGCCTGGAAGTAACTGACACACCAACAATAAGCTAAGCTTCATCATGCTTTGATACCTTCAATTCAGTGTTACCGTTAATTTTACTAATAAAGATTGATGAAGTCTGAACACACATGCAATGAAGTTTAGCTGTATAGCTCACTAGAACAACATTAAGCTAAAAAGAAAGTAAGTGTATAACGGATGTTAACCGCAAGGTGAAAGCACTACTATACCTTGACTTTAACATCTTTCCTTAGGAACTGGGCTTTCTCCATCATATAATTAATATACCTTAAAATTTTCAAAAAGAATGAGCGAACAGTACATTCAGAATGAGTCACAATCATCAGATTAAAAATAAAATATTAATTTATGTTTTCTTATCTGCTTACTGGATTTTAAACAGAGAGGTACCATGATATACCCTAATTATTTTCTCTAATATTATTAGTTACTAACTATATCCCACCATTTGATGATTTCATGGCTACCTATTAGAAAGGATATTTGCCTTTAGAATTACTGAGCTAATTTTCATTATAAAGTTTGACTACTATATCTATTTAAGAACAGTGATTGGCGATGAGGTTTGGAATATAAAACTATATTCCCTGCCTGTAGCCCAAGAGACATAACGTTAATTCTATTTAAGAACAGCGATGTTTCTCTGTGCTTGGTGCTGTGTAGGACCTGAAGACAGAGTGAAAGAAGCTGTATTCCTTGTCTTCAAACATTCAGATCTAAAAGGAGAGGGGGACAAGAACAACATAAAGCATTTACAGTGTGCTTATGGGGCGCCACATACCATTGTGAATGTCTACCTGTTTCCCTCATTAACCTCTGCAGTGAGCCTTTAAGTACTATTTCATGATCCCCCATGTAACAGACTAGGAAGTGACATCCAAGGAGGTTAAAATACTTGCCCAAGTTTGCATAGCCGTTAACTGGAGAGGAAAACATAGCCTAGGATGTCAAGGCGGGGGACATTCTTAGGCACCACATCTGATGACCTCACGGTGAATCAAGTCACCACTGTATTGTCTCGTAACTATGGTGGAGGGTGAGCACAGCAGCATAGGATGAACAGACAATGATTAATTCTGTCTGAGGAAGGAAGAGGGGAAAGATGCTGTGTACATGGAGACCCAGAGAGAGAACAGCAGGGATTCCACCAAGCAGGGATGGACTAAAGCACGCAGAAAGGGCAGAAATCAGGGTAGGAAACATGAAGACAATGCTGCTCTGGCAAACTGAATGGCTTCAGCTGTGGAAAGGTCTGGAGAAGGATGCGCAGGGCTGGGGAGGTGTTCACAAGCAGGGGAGCAGCTTTGTGCTGAACGGTGAATAACCGGCAGGGCTGCATTGGTGAGGGCTGGCTGATTACCAGGAGCCTACGGCAGGCCAATCTACATACAAAGGCGTAGCCTAAAGACTCGAAGATGAAATCGGAATTTACAGTGCTCTGGACAACACATGAAGTTTCTCTCTTAGCAGAGTTCAACAGAGAGAACACGTTCCACAGAGAGAAACACGTTCAGTAGAAACTGTGCTTTAACTTTTGATCTTTTCCTGGTCTGAACAGATACAGTATGACATTCTATACTCCCACAATGCCGAGCAGCAGGCCAGCCCCAGCACCCACTCAGGCACGAGATCCCAGCGTTAAACAACCAACCTTATAGCACTCTGTTGGCAATGAGGTTTGGTAGATCAGCTACCATATGTTCAATGCATTTTTGACTTAAAATAGTTTCAGTTTACAATGGGTTGGTTTATCAGGATGTTCAACCACTGTTAATTCAAAATGCATCTGTCTAGCATGGTACGTTGTCCAAACCAGGCAATGGTGGTCGTGTGGGAGAAGTACCAAGACTGTAAAAGTACTGCTAAATAAAGATGCTGTGCTCCCATGTGAGGATAATGCAATCAATTATTGAATGCTCAAGTTGATTATCTCACTAGTACTTGGCAATAGTATAGTCAATGGATTTAAAAAAAAAAAAAATGCACTAAGTAAAAATTACCCTGGCATTCAGTTTAAAATGGGAAGCAAGTCCTCTGTTAAAGTGCTAATGCTTAAGTATATTTTACACTGTTGGTGTTAAAATTTTTTTAACTAATTTTGTGTCATAGAAGATGTGTTCCTTTTTCATTCAGGTGATCAAGTCTATCTATGAAGCATGGGTAATAACGGGATGAATTCTTGCTCTCTGGTCACAGGATGATCTTAAAAAGACAGAATCGTATGAAATTAGAAAATCTGAGTGTTCATTCAGTGCATTCTACCTTAGCAGGTAGAAACTCCCGACACAGGGGAAAGTGGTGAGATTGATGAAATATATAAGGGGTCATCATTTTTAATCTCTTTACTCACTCTGATCATCTAAGACAGAAGGGTTCATCAATTTTAAGTGTTCCTCAAAACTACAGGCCCTTCTCTCACAGGTTTGTGTATTGCTGTTTCTAGGCCTTTCAGGGTACACTGTTATCAATAAAAGAAACAATAAGAAAAGTTGAGCAGATCTATAGCTGCAAGGCTGGGTACAAGTACTCTCGGGGCCTAGAGTAACACAAATTTTGCCTATTTTTGTCTGAGTATATGACATCAAGTAAGTATACCACTGGACATTAAATTCAGCAAATTAGCTCTCCTTATGGAGGTCACCAGGGTAAAGTATGACTAGACACATTAATAATTCATTCGCCCACTGGATACTTATTGGGTACCTGTGGCGTAAAAGAACATTTAACAGTCATTTGAGCAATTATTATGCAGCCATTAAAATGGCTAGAATTCTGTTTGTAAAACCATTTGGGGACAAGCTACAAACAAAGTTCTGTGTAATTAAAAACCACAGAGAACACAACAGCCAAATGAAAAACCCAAAGCTAAATGAAAAAATGTGGCTTCATTAGGGCATTGGGCGTCTGCCTTCAACCATTTCGATGTGATTTAGTGAAGCACATCTATACCTCCAATTATAAAAATCAATGAGAATGCTCTCCTTCTGCTGGCTACCATAAAACATACTTTTTTTAAAAACACATACAACACATTTCCACTTCCTTGCCAAAAAAGCCTGACACCCTATTTGCTTGATTAAATGTCCGGCCTCAGGGCTGGCTGCTGCATTAGGTAGAGTGGGCGCAGTATCAAGGGCCCATGAGATTTCTGGGGGCCAGGAAAATGTTTTTAACCTCTTAAAATCAAGAGAAAAAAGACGGCGGAGAAGGTTTGTGTCAAAAAAGAGATTACTTTTCTTTGTATCAGTGCAATCATAATTTTTGGGTGTTGACAAACAGGACCCCAATGCAAAACTGCCAAATGCCCACAAAAATCAGTAAGGGGGTCCTCCTAGGCTAAATCCCCAAATTTTACACAACAGCACAACATCCCCGCACCTCTCACAGCCACCCTTAAGCAACAAAACAACCTTTAATGGGGTTATTTTGCAAACCAAAAGCTTCAAATACTCTAACTACAAATAGTGTTAAGTGACTAAGGGATGTTAAATACCTTTAGTGCCAGACTTGAAAATGTGCCGGAAACGTTGCACTTAAAGCTCAGCTGCTTGTCCAGGTTTCCATCTGGATCCCGCCGCCCATAATCGGAAATACCTGTGCGGTCAGAGGCAGCCACTTTCTGGAACACAGTGCAGGTCATCCCCGTGAAGCCCGCGGCCTTGATGACATACGCTTCCAGAGCAATGTTGGGCGAATACTTCAAAAGTCAAGCAAACAAGAGTTAGGAAAGATGTTTAATCTGTAGGGAAAATGCTATCACAGACTTCTCAAACACAAAACACTATACATACAAGTCAAAGCACAAAGCACAGGTTCTTACTAAAACTGTGTAGGTACCTGAATAGAAAAAAAAAAAAAAAAGAACCTAGAATGAAAACATTCTGACGAAGGGAAAAAAAAAAAAAAAAAAAGAGTGCTAAAGTACTGAAAGCCAGGTATAAATTAGAAGTCAACCAAAAATAATTTTAGGGCTGGGGATACAACTCAGTGGTAGGGCACTGGCTAGCATGCACAGGGTTCTGGGTCTCAGCACACTGCTGCAGAAAACATAAAATAAGAAAAAACCTTATTACAGGAAGCTTCAAGGTAAAAATGGAAGCTTCTTATTAAAAAAATCCGCTAGATAAAAAAATGAGCAAATCCCCTTAATGACCACTCTACAGAAATAAATGAAAGGTAATTATCAGGGTTTGAAAGTTCAATACTTCAGCCACTTTTTCCCTTTACAGAGAGATCAAATTAGCTCTCTGTATCAGTTTCACATATAAAAGCTTTGGATAGACACTCCTCGGCTATTTCTTTGAAAAAGGGACATGTTAGATCAAATAATAGAAAATAAACAGACTTAAGTAAATTCGGTTAAAAAAAAAAAAAAAAAACTGAAGAAAACAGTATCTGCCCCAGGGTTTTAAATACATTCAAGAGTAAGCTGAACTCAAAAGACTTGCCACCAGCTGTCAACTCCAACAGCCACCAGCCAGAGGGTGCAAGACCGCCAGCAACACCCCCACCGCCAGGACCTCAGCAGAGCAGGCGCAAGAAGTAACGACCTGACAAACCTCACTTCCAAACCAACCAAGGTGACAGGGTTTACTGTAAATTCTAAGGACAACATGGTGTCTCTCCTTGGGTTTTTTCCTTTTCTTTTTTTCAAATTTTAAAGATAACTTAAAAAAAAGGATACAGATTTTCAAAGCAATAGGAAATTAACAATGGTTATTATATTGCAGATTGTCATCGAATTAGTTGCTCAGATTACCAGATATAGGCATGTAAGTTTGATCAGACAACATAAACACTAACTGTTCCTTTCAAAGAACTAACAGAAATTAGTAGTACAATCATTTTAGCTATCTTACCTATATCTATCTATCTATCTATCTATCTATATATATTCCTTCTTTCTTTTCTTCTTTCTCCCTTCCCAGTTCTTTCCTTTTGAGCTGTTTCTTTCCCTTTCACAATTGTACACCTTCTGGATCTTATTTACTCTTTCAGTTTCTTACACTAGGGAGACAATTCAATGTTTACACATGTGAATGTGGTTTATTTCACTTATGAGTATGGTCTCTAGTTGCAATCATTTACCTTTAAAACTCTTGAGTTTATCCTTCTTTATAGCTGAGCAGTATTCCATTGCACAAACATACCACATCTTTTTTATCAATTCCTCAGTTCATGGGCATTTGGGTTGTTTCCAAGATTTAGCTATTACTCTGCAATAAACACGGGTGCACATATATCGCTGTGGTATGATGTTTTTAATTCTTCTGGGAAAATATCCAGAAGGGGAATAGCTGGGTCAAATGGGACCTCTAATCCTCGTTTTTTGAGGAATCTCCACACTGATTTCCACAGTGGTTGTACCAATCTACATTTTCACTGACAGTGGAGAAGGGTTCCTTTTTACCCACAGCCCTGCCAGCATTTGTTATTGGTTGATTTCTTGATGCTAGCCATTCTTTCTGGGGTGAAATGGAATCTCAGCTTTGTTTTAATTTACATCTCTTAAAAGACCAACGATGCTGAACATTTTTTCAAATATTTATTTGCCATTTGTATTTCTTCATCTGAGAAGTGTGTATTTATCTCAGATGCCCATTTCTGAATTACCTCTTTGAATTTTAGGGGTCTGATTTTTTTTTTTTTTTAATTCTTTATATGTTTTAGAAAGAAGTCCTTTACCGGAGGGACAGTTGGCTAAAATTTTTCCCATTTATTTATTTTTTTTTTTCACTCTGTTGGTGATTTCTTTTGATGTGCAAAAACTTTTTAAGATGGGATTCCAGTTGTTGATCCTTTGAAGTATTTCCCATGCAGTTTAGTTTTTGTTCAGGAACTTTCTGCCTACCCCTGTGTCTTCAAGACTTCTACCTACTTTCTCTTCTAGTAGATTTAGTGTTTTTGTTTTAATATTTAGAACTTTCCCAAAAATATGAGCAAGGCAACATCCCAAAAACCACATACAGAACATCTCCTTTGAAAACCAGTGCAAGATGCTAAAATTCTATTTGGGAGACAAGACACAAATTAAAAATATGAGAGGTAAAGTAGCATTTCATAAGTATCAGACATAGGACAGACAATAATTAGTGGTTCCTGAACTTTTCAAGAGTAAACAATGTTCATGTGCGCTTTTGCCTTGCAGACTACACATTATGAACTTTTACTAAATTGTACTCATTGACTAATAATATAGGGTTTGATGCTCTAGCCCTAGTTTCAGGTATCCACTGGGATCTGGAGCTCTTCCCCAGGGATAGGGTGAACCGCTGAAGTATGCACGCAACTCCTAGAACTATCTATATGCTGAAATGAGTTTTCAAAGGAACCACTGAGGTTCAGAGGTAGGAAGTCAGTTCTTCAAGGTGAGTAATAAGCAACAGTAAAGGATGGGACTTAAACTGGGTCTCAATAAATTACAGGGGAGGACTTAAAATAACCACCAAGTCTCAAATAAGGTCCTGCACCTGAGCAGGAAGTACCCCAAACTATATTATAAAAATGTAGCCATGCAAGGCTTCTATTTTATTTATTACTCAGGAAGGCAACCCTAAACTTAATTGGGCAATAGTTACAATAAAACACAGTATCATTAAAAGAGGCCCAGAAATCAATGGAAAAATGATAATCTTGCATTGTACAAAACCACAAGTGGAGGTGCAGAATATTCAACACTACATGAACCCATTAAAATAATCAGGAAATGAAAAACATGGATGAGAATATAACTGTTACGGGAACACACGTATTTACTATGTTTCACATTTATAGAACAAAGAGTAAGCAATACATAAAGAAGTTTAGAACAGTTCAGTTTGGCACACTGTTTAAGTGAGTAATTATTATGCCAACCATTTTGCAACTGTTGGTGCACATTCCCGTTCTCTCTTCAGATTAAAACCTGGGTAAAACAATCAAGCATTCTCTAAAATATCCTTCAAGGCCCAGGACTGAATATCAGCTCTTCCCGACTATGGGTAACTGTCAGGAGGGCAATATAACAGTGCTCTTATTCTTGGTGCTCAAAGTTTCAGTGGGTCAGTGGATGACAACCATTCAAATTACACATTGGGAAAGTATTTTCCAGTTACCAAAAAACCGTTATTACTCAAAAGCAAAATTAATTTGCAAAATGTCTCAGAAAAGGAAATTTTGTAGTTCAGTAATGAAAAATATCTACGCCATCATAAGGAAGAGCTGTCGTTTTTGGGCTATAGTGGCCCGTCATGGTTATCTGTCTCAGAGGCCTATGATCATATCACACTGTCTTGATTACTCTTCTCTCGTTGCTGAGACAAAATACTTGACACTCAGAATTAAGGAAGGAAAGGTTTATTTAGCTCACAGTTTGTGGAGGTTTCAGTCCATACTCGACTGGCTCCAAGGCAGAATGGCAGATGGCAGAGGGCAACAGCTCATGGCAGCGGAACACAGCAAAGGCAACAAGCACAAAAGGGAGGAGGGGTGGCAAGCAGCCTCTTTCCCTCCCTTACATTATATGCAAACTATCTGGCCCAGGGTGGGGACAGCACTCACACCCATAATCTCAGCATTGGATCCTGGATCAATCATAAACTCTAAAAGCCTGCCCCATGACTGCATGAGGCTTTGGGGAGACACCCAGACACAAACCGTAACACACACTTACTGTTGAATACACATGAGCCCCGCTGGCGAGCCGGTACGTTGCGATGCACTGCAGACACTGCACAATTCTGCTGCAGGCCTTTGCTTCCCTCTGTGCCAGCCACAGAACACGCTCATCAGCCAACATGATGTTGCTTGCGATGTCTACCATCACATCCCCCAGCTGTGGCACGCGTGGGAAAAAGAAGAAAGGTGCTTTAGGCCGAGGGAAGCTGTTTGCTAGACTCCAAATCCTAGAGATATGCCTTTAGTCTAAAATCGTCCATGAAATCCCCATGGGCACTTTATTTTTCACTCATTAAAATATCTTCAGATATGAACAGCACAATCAATTATGATCATCTGGCAATATTTAGCTCCAAACAGTATACTTAAGCAGTCATCGCTAGCGGAAAGACTGCCATGCAGTACCTCAAACACAGGAAAAGAAAGGCAATTAGATTAGTTAAGGAGAAGGAAAAAGTCACTCAATCCCAGAATAAAAAGACTGCAACTCTTCCTCTGGAAAAGCATTATACACACTTCTTTTTGTATAGGCATTAGCTTAAGTCAAACCCTATTATCAATGAAAAATATATACTGTCTACTTTAATCTCCTGCCATGTTTAAAATACCAGGCACTTCCAACTACTGAATTTCCTGCTTGGGCTGTACAATCCCACACCTCTCTACCCTGCTGCATGTGGAATCCTGCACCTTGAATGCATGCCTTCTACCCTTCCTCCAGACTCAGTGAAATGCTTTAGGATCCATGGCCATGAAAGAAATGGACTCAAAGAGGTATTCATGTCTCCCAAGTTGGTTTTACTTGTTTCATTTATACTCAGTTCTTTTTAGTAGCTCACTTTGTACCTTTCAGATGTAAATACCTATCAGGTGGTGCCAGGGAAAACTGTGACTTGTGTAACCCACCACCAAGAAATGCACTGAACAGTCCAGTTAGTAAGACATACTGGTGTCAAGGGCACTTGGCACTGAGCAAACGTTCATGAGAGGGAGCTGTGTGGCAGAGAGAACAGCAAAAGCGTTCCAGAGGCAGGAGCAGAGCATTTAGAAGGCAGCTGGTCCTTTCATCACGAAGGAAGCATCAAAGGCGCTAAGCTCCAGTGCCAAGCCAGAAAGCTGCGGCTGTTCTAACAGATGTGTTTTGATCATCCCAGAAGATCCCAGCTATGATTTCCAACCCTGTTCCACACCTAATACTCTTCACAGGATTTCCAGTTAGGAAGGCTGAGGTGTTACTGGAATGAGTTCTGTCCACCCCAATATGGTTTACTTTACAAAGACAGGCCTATGGAAATCCACCGGACCCCAATCCTAGACACACAGCTGAAGGAAGCCCAGCAAGCAGAGGTAAAGACTCGCCTTTCATACGTTCAGCACTATTGCCTGGGGTGGATACTTCACCTCTCCACACTTCCAGCCTCCTCATTTGTACATGGGGTAAAAGTAGTCCTGTCTGTTGAATGCTGTGCTCACCAAGTTCCAGTAATAAATATAAGCTTTCTGAAACCATGGTACATGGCAAGCACTTAAAAAATTTTGGCTTCTTTTGTTATTTTCTTGTTCCCCTTTTTTTCAACCATTTCAGTACCTTATCAATAACATGTATGGCTGGAGAGGAAGGGATTTCTAAAGTGTGTGCTCATATATAAATGGAACCACCAGATTGTCCCCTATAAGTCCCAACCCCAATCTTCATTCTTCATTTTTAAGAAACTCGATCCTGACTTTATGTCCAAGGTAAACATGCAAGGGAGGAATATCACAATACACTTGTATCTACACCTTTATGCACTACTACACAAGACTTACTATAGAAGCCAATAGCTATCAATGTACATTTACTTCATGTTTATCATGTTCATTATTATTGTTCATTTATAATGTCCACTGATGAATATTTAAGGGTCAATATGAGACAGTCATTGCCCTGAGCAGCAGTGATAAGTAGTAAAACAACCATACATGCTCTACATTCCAGCTTACAATCTGAAGAAAATAACAAGTAATTCCACTTTTAAAAAATGATGCAGACTGTGACAACTGCTCTGAAGCAGCAAGCAAAATAATATATGATGGTGAATAATTAAATTTAACCCATTCACACATCCTGAAGATGTACTTCTCCCAAACCCAAGACAGTAACGAAATGAACTGCCAAAGAAGGAACAAGATTCCCCAAGGTGACAACGCATGCCTCTGGTCCCAGCACTTTGGTGGCTGAGCAGAAGGATCACTTGAGCCCAAAAAAAGAGGCCCCCCTGGACAACACAGTAAGGCCCGATCTCAAAATTAAAAAGATGAAAGAAAAAAAAAACACCCTAACATCAAGCTTTGTAGAATTTCATCTAGTTCATTTTATATAACCCCTAGGAATATCAGCATCCTGGTACATTTCCTTCAACTAAGAACAGGTGTGGCGGTAAATGCTGTTCTACCACAAGCCTTTACTTCTGGAATTACGAACGCAGGTACTGACTCTGCTACATCGATTACTGAATACATCAATCAGCCGATTATACAGAGGTCAGATTAATCAACCCCAACTTTAAGTGGGAATTCAGAGTAGCTGGAATAGCTAGGTTTTTGTCCACTATTCTGATTTGTTATTTCAAGTTTTTACATAAAAATGAAACCAGTCAAAAAGATGAAGCAGCCAAATGTGCTCTATGACTATCAGAAATGAAATTCCTACTGGTGAAAAACATCAGAGATAAAGTACACAAAAATGTTCATTCTACTCTAAGGAACTGCTACTACAATATAAGCTCTCTATAGGTCTGTACAATGATAACTTAAATATTTTTTTGCAGATTTAAACACAGGGACTTGATGAGGCTATGAAGGGACCTGATAGATTTATGATTCATCTGTCCTGCAGAATTATGATCATGACAGGACCGAGGAACGACTACTGCGCCCTGTAAACAATGCCTGTGCAGGAACGCAACTTGTGCTGCTCGCTGTAAAGCACCTCCTCTGGGAAGGCAGATCGAACACAGAGAGCTGCCTTCCAATGAGAGCAGGCCATTTTTCTCACAATTTGACACAAAACAGCTAAGAACTGAGGAAAGGGATTTGTTGCCAAAATATTCCCTAGAGCAGATAATCATAAAATGCTACACGCTGCTGTGGCTTGGTTAGAGAAGTAGCTCTGAATCTGTCATAGAAGCCAAGAAAGAAAGAAAAAGGACACAAGAGGGATCACAATGCACGAAAAGGGACACTGGATTAAAAAGGTATTCCTGAAATGTGACACAGGAAGATAGCTGAAAAGGGACAAACAGCGTGAAAAAGCATTGCATTTCTCCTTGGCCTCCTTCCCCTGAGGGCTGTTGCAGCACAAAGGGGTCAGAAGGAGTCAGGCACCTGTGCTTGCCCCTGGCACACTGCCCTGTGAGGACCCACCGAAGGCAGGTGTGCATGCACTCTACCAAAGATGAAATAGTAAAGAGACGACAATGCCACATGGATAACAATGAAAGCATTCAATGCCACAGGTTTTAGGAGACAGGCTTTTTTTTTCCATTGGAATTGGGACCGAAATTAGGTCAAAATCACCTGCATATCCAAGAATGAACTTCTGATATGTTATCATATTAAACAGATTAAATATAAACTCAGTATTTAATTTTAAGGTGGTAGGCACACAGTGTTCCATACTGAAAATAGAGTGTTTATGTTGCTGGGAATTAAATACTCCTGGGTCTAGAGTTCAAGTCTCTCAAAAGCTAGATGTCTCTGAGCAAATCTATTAGCCTTTCTGAGATCCAGTTTTCTCGTCTGTAAAATAGTGAGGCTAGGAACCCTATGAGAAGTGTTCAGAATGTCTCATCTCATACTAAAATTAAAAGCAACAAAACCCTGAGGAAAAATATTCTCTGAAACACCTAACAGATATATAACAGGTACATGCAGATTTTAAAGAAGGTCAGTGATTTTGGCCCTTCACCACTTAAGCAGAGGAGCAAGGGATACTTCAATCAATTCTGATAACCAGCAAAGCAAGAATTTCAGATTTGTATACAGCTGGGGCAGACAGTGGGGCAACTGTTGGGGGACAGATCCAACTTCACTATGACCACACCAGCAGCAACACAACCAATATTATCAATTTTTGAGCTCAAGCAGCCACGATTTTTTCTGAATTACAAATAAAGTACAATATTAAGGCCTTAGCAGTCTTAAGGTATGTTGGGACTGCGATTACTTTTAATAAAGGAACCGCTCAGTTTTGGAAGTCAGACTTTTACAGGGATATTTATATCACTGCATATGAAGTATTGAGGGATCCTACTAAAGGTGTCTCAGCAGCTAGCTGAGTTAAGACTCGATACTCAACAAGACGGCCCCACAGGCAGGGAAAAAGCAGAGAGGTGGACGACAGTGAAAGAGGGGAGAGGGGGATGTCAGTGCTGCATGGAACAGATATTCCATGTGTTCTCCCTTTACTTAGAGAAAGGACTTGTGGTTCAAACAAAAAGTAATAGTTCTTTTTTAACTAACAGAATGTAAATAATACAGAGTGGAAACATAAGACTTCTGAGGAAAGAGGCAGGGCAGACAAGGTGCAAATATGAGCCAGCAGCAGAGTAGCTAAAACTGGGGAAAAGTGGATTCTTGATATATTTCTAGTCAAGGCAACAAGGACAATTTTGCAATTATCAACACGAAAAAATATTCCCTCAAGGCAAAGTGGCTTTTAAGAAAAATAAATAAATAAAAAGTTCCAGGAACATGGGAAGAAGGCTCCTGAACAGAGGTGTGATTTAATGGGCCACACACTAGGCCGCACTTTCACAACAAAGAGAAATGTTTAACTTGGAGGCCTCCTCCAAGCCTCTCAAGGAAAGCAGTTTTGGTTTTGACCTTTTTTGATTACAAAAATGTACCTGCGCTTTCCTTTCTGGAAATACGGAGGACTGGGAACTCTACATGACTGTCCTGAGACAAATGAAAATGCCAGAGGAAATCAGTTAACTTTGTACCTGGGTAGCAGAAATGCAAGACTCCTCCAGGGCCCAATAGCAATGTGACAGCAGGGATGGAGCAGCGTGAATTCTGGCGACAGTGAGGCTGGATTTGCATACAGAGCGAGGTCAAGCCACAGGAGCACATCGGAAGGCCACCTACCAAAGAGCTGACGACACAAAGGGGAATGGCACATCCAGCCTTGGGCCAACAGGAATAACCCAGCCTCACAGACAGGAACAGCAAGGAAACGCCCCTGCCTGCACCTGGGCTCATGGGAGGAGGACCCAACATGTCTTCTCTGACTATTCCCAAGCACAAGTCAACCTTTACACAGGGCAGGCTCCAGGTCCTACTGTTGTCTGAAAAACATCAAGCTAAGGACTGATCTCAAAGTGAGTTCCTACCTTGGTATGGACCCTGGGCAATTGGCAGAAGCAAATAAAGCACACTTAATGGTATGTTAGACCATTCTTATTAATGTCTCCCATCACCAACATTTGTCACACTGTTCTGGAGGACTCAACAATGTATAACCAGGAAAAAATGGATGTGTTTCATGTGTGAGTAGATAAACTAATTATTATTTGCTGATGAGCTGTCTAGAAAATTGCAGCTTACAAACTGCAAAATGGTATGAATAAATTTAGTAAGGTAATCAGACATGAGGTCCATAGTTTCAAGAAACTTTAATTAAGGAAAATAGAATATGGTCAACATATTTGATGCCGTTAAGAAAGCTTGGCTAGTTCTCATGATATAACAGCAATTTTTAAAGTTCCCTTTGTTTCCAAAAAACTGTGGGTGGAATATAATTGCTACAATTTGCTTTTAAATGCTCCAGCATTAAAAAAGAAAATCTGTACATAAAGATATACTAAATGAATTTGGTAGCAAACTAGCCTAGGGTACAGGCATGTCTCATATTCAAAATGAAAGGACAATAAAGGCATTATAAAGCATAACCAAATGTACTTTTTATGTACTTTCTCATCTTTTGAAATGGAGATATATTGGTTTCATAAGATAAATCACTATAGTAAATGTGGAATAGACTCTTGTGTTGCCTGACAGACGACCTCTAGCTGTTTTTAAAAGACCACTAAATACATTACTTTGATAGCATTTAGTAAGCATTTTGAGAAAGTAAGGGTACTGACTAAACGCAATCACAGTTTCAAAAGCAAGTGCCTCACAATATTTTAGCTACAAAATTATTTGTAGCAGAATTAATTTTGGACATAGCACAATAATTAATTTAATTAATGATTCTTCCACCAAGTATATGAATTTTAGGATATCTTAGCATAATTTTATGCTGTGTTAATTAACTTAAAATGAAGTCTGAAACCTCGTAATTTATTTTTACCATCCTTATGAATAGTTGAAAGCTATAGCCTGCACTTTGAGTTCCCAAAGAAGTGTACAGGATGTCAGTCAGCACATCACAGATACTACTGTATTTATATCTGGATGATTCAGTATTTTCCCTCTCTTATTTACACTTAATAAGCTGTTGTCACTTGTTTCCATATATAACAATTAACTTTATGACTATGATAACAAGTCAAAATGACAGCAACCTTCTTCAAATTAAATTTTTAGTAACTAACTAAAGTACTCATGACCTTTTTTTTGTTTTTCTGTTTGTTGGTTAGGTTTGGCTTTTATTTTTGCCTTTTTTCTTTTTTTTTTTTTTTTGAGATAGAGTCTCACTATATAGTTCAGGCTGGCCTTGAACTCACTATGTAATCCAGGCTGGACTGGAACTTACGGTAATCTGCCTCAGTCTCTCCTGGGCTGAGATCACAGGCATGCATGCACTATCACGTCATCAATCATGAACTTTTGAAAGAATCACTTTCTTTGATTCTGAGATCACAAGAATGTTAGTTTCATAACCCTATAAACCTAGACCCCAACACTGCAACTGTTTTGCACCTGAATTTCCTCACTTGTGCATATACAGTCCGGAAGTTAAATTGGGTCAGTGTCATCCTAATTTTAAAAACAACAAAGAGCACATGGTTAATTAATAACTCATTGTTATGGCTTGTGTCTAGATGTCCCACTAAAGCCTCCTGCGGTCACAGGCGGCGCTTTTTCAGAGGTGGCTGGATCTGTAGTGTGTGGTGCTGGAATTGATTCACGGTGCAGTGTTACACTCAAAAACACTAGGATTAAGGGTACGGGTGCTACCTGCCCTGAGTTCCTAGGTAAGATAAAAAGGATACAAAGAGCTTCGGTCATCCCTTACTAAGCAGCTTGCTTTGCTACCTTCTGCCCACCATGAACTGTTTTTCTTCTGTGATGTCTGTCTGCCACGTCACCCTGCTTTGGAGTCAGGTGACTGTTGACTGAAACTTCTACAAACTGTGAGCAACATAAACCTTTTCTCCTTTACCTTTGGGTACTGGGTATTTCGTCTCATCAACGAGAAAAGTAACTAAGACAACATGAAACCGTATCTATTTCCAGTTCCACAGAATGCTTCCACCTAAGAACATATCAAAGCAGCAGGTAGTTTATTCCACACATTACAGAAGCGATAACCTTAAACCTCTGGGCACCACATTCCTCTTTCAAGTTGAGAAGTGAACAAGAGCCCCTCACATCAAACACAGCAGACAGTAAAGAAACGTGTATTATAACGAGGTAAGATCTTTTTCAATGCTAACATCCCAAATGTCACTGCAATTATTCTAGTAAGTCAAAATAGTCCACTTCCAGAAACAACCAATCACGAGGGTAGCTAACCTGTGATTAAAAGTGATGAGGAAGAACAATAGCACCAGAGTTAGAACCCAAAGTGCTTCTCCCAGGGCTAAGAAAACTTACCACAGGGAAGTGGCTATGGCCCAGAATGCAATCAGGTAGGACAGTTTGTTAGAAAATTGTGCGATTAATGGTCCTTACAGTTCAGTATCAAAGCTATGACCTTTTCTCATAATCCAGTAGAAAACCTGATTGCCTGGGTACTGCCATATGCACATTATCTACTTTGCTCCCTTTCTTAACTACATCCCAAACATACTAGTTATGGTTCCAAAACTTATCATCAAAATATAAGATCGTAAGTAATACTTGACCAAAACTTTCTTAAAAGCCTTGGTTAAATGACTTAGGGATACATGGTGTATTATTTACTTTTCAGCAGTATCGAAGGATCTGAGATACCCCTACATAAAGAAATACAGCTTTGTTTAGCTGGTGGGGGAATAGTTCAGCAACACAGTGCCTGCTTGGCAAAAGCAAGGTCCTGAGTTCAATTTCCAGTACCAAAACAAAGAAAAAACCAGAGGCTTTGTTTAGCCAATTCCCCAAAACTATGGAAGAGAGGGCAACAGTATACTAAAAGTGAATGTAATATTACAGAAAACACTTCTAGACAGTCAGGGAAGGATCTGTTTTTCAGCCCTGCTTACCTGAACTGCACACCCAAAGATGAATCAATTAATTTTCACTTGGCTTCAGTTTATGACTTTGACCTAGGTTCTTCCCAACTTTAAAATTAATTTTGGTGTGATTACCTCATTTTGTCTTTAAATCTTTTATTTGTTGCTCATTCATTCTGAAATCCCTGGTTCTCCATTTTTCCCCTAATACATACTATGTTGACAAGCGTATCCTAGTTAACATTTAACTGGTATTTATAAAGTATACATATCTGTGTGGTATCATGATGTTCCACTATATGCATATATTGTATAATGCTCAAATCATGGTAAACATATCTATTTCCTCGAACAATTAATATTTCATTAAATTTTTTATCATTTGTACATTCCAATCATTTGGGACTTCAATAGCCTCTCATTTCCCCAGGACATTACAAAAGTAATGAGGTGGTTCCCAAGATGTGGACGACGAAAACATGTATGAAGAAAGATGGACACATGGCTGTACAGATGTGGGAAATTCCAGGGCCAAAATAAGTAGCCCCAGCTCCCCCACAATGAGAAAGCAGAGGCTGCTTTCTACCAGACTTCTCTCTACTGTACTATGGTACCTTATAATGCTCAAGAACTGATAAATCACCTCTATTCCCAACAACTCATAGGTCACTCTAACAACTGCAGCTTAACTTGCTCAAAGGAAACTGGAAAGCGTATGTAGTTCAAATATGGCAAAGCTTTGAAAACACAGAGCTGAGTCCACTCTACTAACACGTGTTGACACTACGCTACAGATCTGAAGCTAGGAGAATACCTCCTTTGATTTTTCCTCTTTGGTAAATCTTCCAAATTTTTCTATCATTTCAGCCACGAATATAACATCCATTTTGTCAGAGAAGTTGGCTGCTTCCACGGTGTAAGCCAGCAACTGCCGAGCTGTTGCCACGGCATTTGTGAGGTTGAGGGGCATCTACAGCAAAGAGGCAAAGGGAAGCGGTTTGAAAAACGGCAAGACATCTTCGACATTTTAACTCTGCATTTCAAGACACGGCAATGAACTGAAAGTACTATTTACTCATCATAATCCTAAAATGATTTTTCAAATTTTAATAGAAACTACCCTGAGGAAAATGTTTTCAGAATTTGAAATATAATGATAGCAAAAAACATATCTGGTAAACATGCTGCATTATTTCCTCCCCTCTGCCTACCCAGTCTAGACACACCTCCTCCCAGGGCTCAGGAAAGCCTTTCCCCAGGACTCCAGCAGGGCGCGATCAACAGCTCCCCTGGAACTCCTTCCCCACAACAGTGCGAAGCACTTATTTCACAGATGGTGTTCATTTCTACTGCTAGCCACGCTTTACATTTGCTTATTTACTGACTTCAACACTCAGCCCTAACCACTGCAAAACGCGTAACTTCATGCTAAGGAGCAAATCAGTGAGCAGCACAGAAGCTACCTCCCAGCTGCTACTGTCTGGCAAAGTTTTAAAAAGATGAGTAGAGGCAGAGAGAGCACGGGGCACCTGCGTCATACAACACTGGAAGGGCTCATCGGTGACAAACAGAACATAAAAGGAACCCCACATGTGGCTTTCCACGTGGGATGGAAGAGTGGCTGGGTTTCTGCCCGGTGGATGGATATGATAAAAGAATTTTAAAAAGGTGTAAAGTCAGGCAGTGACTGGAAAGGAAGAGGGACATCGTACATAGCGTGATTCCAAAGAGAGCGCGATTCCAAAGGCAGATCAATCGGTGGAAATATTTCTATCGAAGCCTTACTTTGCTTAGTATTTACTTAAACAATGAATACCACATTTATTCACAATGTAAAACAAATCTGAAGATTTGCTAGTTACCTGATTAAACATATAAAGAACTCTAGTGACATCATTTGCATACTGGCAGCGAGAATAATCATCATCTGCCCAGAAACCACCTCTGTCACATCTGCGCCAAGCCTTTTTCTCATCCTGTGGGTTCCCGGGATAGATCCCGCTGCCGTGGGTGTTCCGGGTGCACTGCAGATATGCCGTAATGCCCGCCAAGGTCCTGGGCCACCTAGAGGCGAGGACGAAACAGTGTAAGAAAACCTAGAGAGATGGCGTTAAATCAGGAATGGCAACAATGGAGGAACAACTAAGGATTTAGCATACACTGTATAGAATCACAGAGAAAAAGAAAGTAGCACAAAAGTCACTTAAGAATAAAGGCCAAATTTAATTTTAAAGTTACCATGAACGATCCTGTGTTAGTCTACCAGCTGAGTGTATTTCAATACTGGATATAGCACATTTTTCCAGAACAAAACTCTAAAACTTTCTAAATATCACCATGAAGACAGGTTAACTTCACTGTAACCAGCAGAATAAACAATAAAATTTAGTCATTTGTAGGAATATGGATGCATCTTGAGACCATAATGGTGACAGAAATCAGACACAGAAGGTTAAATACTGCATTGTTTCTTATGAGTTCAAAGTACAATAACTGAAGGAGAAAAATAAAAGGTAGATGATAGGAAACAACAGAGTCAGAGACCTGTAAAGGTGAGAAGCGGGTCTGGAAATGAGGGAAGATGGGAAGAAGGGGAGCAGAAGGGGAACTAAAAAGAATCACGATGGGATAGATAAGCGCCCATTCCCCAGGATGGGGATGAAGGCATTTCTTAGGTATTACAAACATACACTAGTAAAAACAATTTATAAAAACAAAATTGATGGTCATCTTATGTTTTTGCTTACTAGCTGTTGGTCTACAGTTGGCTTATGAAACCATTTGGCATGTAAGGGAAAACTTTTCCTCAATATGAACAGCTGGGCTTCTGCAGAAGTAGGGTTAGTACATCTATGGAAAAGAGGCACCAGGGCAGGCTCAGGAGTGCCATTGTTAAGAGGTCCTACTTGCCTGCTTCCAAACCTGGCTCTTCAGTGGTTGTTTGGGACCATGAGGAGAATTCTGGTATTCCCAGAGACAGTTAACTGGTAAAGGCAGTGTAATAGTTGTATATTGTGTCAACTTGACAAGTTTAGAAGTTAACTAAGTGATCCAGCAGGGGATCAGAGTCCTTACTTTATAAACATCCTGAGCCTGTGCAAGAGGAGGGCACGGGTGGCCTGCATACAATACAAGGGAGAAAAAGAGCCTTGCTCTCCCCTCTTTCTTGCTCTGGCTATTTTTGCTGTCTTCTACCATCTTGAGCTGTTGCCCCTATGCCATGCCACCCTGCCTTGGAGCCAGCCAAGTGAGGAATGAAACCCCTACAAACTGAGAGCTAAAGAAACCTTTCCTCCCTAACTCTGAGTGTTGGGTATTTTGTCTCAGCAACAAGAGAAAAGTAACTAAGACAGATAGTTTACTCTGTTACTCTGCTAGGGTAAGCAATATGGTTTATGCTGAAGACTTACTTTCCTCTAGAGAAACTGGAATTTGGGTGCATGATAAGTGGAGGCGCCGCATAACCAGCCCCAAGCAAAAGCTTTAGGTGTCAAGTCTCCAGGGGGATTCCCTTGGCAGAATCACAGTACAAGGACTGCTGTCCTTACACTGCTGCTGGAAAAATGCTGTCTGCCCCCTTCCAGCACAAAGAAGCCAATCCTGAATTTTTCTAGAGCCTACCTATTTCCCATATGATACAGCTACATATTATACCACACTGACATGTATTTTAGCTCAGAGTACAACTCTATGCTGACTCCCAGGAGTCCTTCTAGCAAGTTTCTGGATGTGGACTTGGTCTTAAAGACATCAAAATACAGCATCATATAACAAAATGTATCAGGGAGGAGCTATTCACTATACCAGAGACAACACAAACCTGTTGACATAGGTTATCACCCTTTGGAGGTAAGAGAAAGCTTTGTGTTCTAATTCTTCAAAAGTAGAGATTAAGTGTATTTCAATACAAGTTATGGCTGATTCACAGCACGGGAACCACTAAATTATAGTATCAGTCACATCAAAATAAAATTATCAAAACCATATTAGATCAAGCAACACAATTCAATCTTATTAATGCAGTGTGAGTTTAATTGTATAATATTTTAAGGCATGCCAAAAGATAAATAATGCATAAATCAGCTAAATATTTAGATTTTTCTTCTATTTTTAAAAACTTAATAGCAGAAAATCCACCATAAACAAATAACGTATCATGATTATTTAATAGAAGATGCTAAATATAACAGAATTAACCGATATTACCTATGTTTAAAGTAGGCAATACAAGTATAGCTTAGTATTTGGTGCACATAAAGGCCATCCCTTGGCAATAATAAATGCTGATTTCCACATGCACATGTCAGGAATAATATTTTGTAAATTTTTTATTAAAAGAACAACAGAAAAGCAATAGATACAGGTGAATTAATGATGTTATTATTGCTTCTCCCCTTTGGATTGCAAAGATTAATACCACAGGGTTTTCTTACTCTTAAAAACACTGGGGTTACTGCACAGAAGTGGCAACAGAATCCACCAGAGACCATGCCACCTCAGCAGTAAGTAATCTTTACACTGCCTAACAAAGCAATGCGTTCCCCTCTGTTTATGTAAACTATAAACTCACTATTAAAATCTCTGAATATAAAGAATATCAAGGTAATAATATAAGTAAAGCAGTGTTAAGAAACAGTATTTGAGCAGTCTAAAGTAAAAATTATTATTTCTCACTAGTTCTAAACTTTCCACTAAAATTAAAATTGACTCATTTGTTTACCTTAATATAATTCCAACAAATCCCCCTGGGATTCTAATGATTCCCCAAGTGTCAAGTTAGCCAGTGGCTTTCATTTCCCAAACTCCTTGTCACTTAATTGCCAGAAGAACAGAAGAAACTTAAGGAAGTGTATTTCCTAATTATGATATCACAACTTTAATTGCCAGAAGAACAGAAGAACCTTAAGGAAATGTATTTCCTAATTATGATATCACAACTGCCAATAATTTAGTGATTAGCAACAGAAAACCTTCCATGGTTCATCCATCAAAAAATCTTTGAAAAACAAGATGGTACCGGGGCTGGGGATTTAGCTCAGCGGCAAAGCGCCTGCCTGGCAAGTGCAAGGTCATGAGTTCGGTTCCCGGTACCGGAGAAAAACAAAAAAAAAACAAACAAACAAAAACAAGATGGTACCATTAGCCTGTCTAAATTTTATACTATCTTCACCAAAATGTTTCCCTTAAAGTAGTGGCTTGTTTTTAGCTTATATAACAAAACCATTTGTTAAAAATAATTTACTTTCCAAAGACTCTTCACCAAGAGGTTTGAAATAAAGTTCAAGCTTTATTTTTAAAAAATCTCCATAAAGGATTCTGAAACTTCCCTTTTTTTTTTTTTTTTGTCTTTTTAAAACAGGATTTACTATGTAGTTCAGGCTGGCCTTGAACTCACTTTATAGCCTAAGCTGGCCTCAAACTCAAAGTAATCCTCCTGCCTCTGCCTCCTGAGTGCTGGGATTACAGGCCTGTGTCACTATGCCCAGCCTGAAACTTTCCTTCTAAAGGATAGTCTTTACACAGACGTTAGGGTTAGGATATGTGTTTGGTTTTTTCTCCAATTTTGTTACTAAGGATGGGCATCTAATTAAATGCCTCAGGATAAAAAGAGTTTGAACAAATCAGACTTTTTGAGTACTATATATCACTGACCTGAAATCACCTTTGTTGTTTACCACTCTCTCTGGAGGACAGTACTGTGCAGAGCTCTCTAATACCACAATATCAACAGTCCTTGTATTGTTCCCACGTTTGGTCTGGACATGACAGCCCCAGTTTCCAGTAGATCCAGCCTGAATATTAGAAATGGTTAGGGCGCTGCATGAAAAAAAGATTTTAAAAAGAGAAAAACATGATTAGGCAAAAAGGAAGACTATGGGTTTCAATCATTCATTTAGCAAGTATGTCTGAATGCTCACTGTGAGCCACGTCTTAAAAAACTGGGACCCTCCCTTTCAAATCCTCTGTGCCAAGTCAAGCCAAGGAGAAAGATCCTTAAAATACAGTACGAGCGGTGAGAGGAGTGTGAGTAAAGTGCAATGGTAACACAATCTGTGAGGATTCTGCTAGCAAAACAACAGAGCATGCAAGGCCCGGAACGGCCGGTCCAATCCAGAACTATCTCAGCACTTGCTGCAGCAAAGCTTGCAGAAGTTTCCATATCACCTCTACCTTTCCAAAGATTCTCAGCAAAATATTCAAGCGTGAAGAAAGGATGGCACTATTCTGAATTACGTAACTGAGAAAACATTTAAAGTAAAAACATTTCTGGGAAAGGAAAACAACCTGTAAAATCTCTACAAGATGTAGTAATGACCAACTAATGCTTTCATAAAAAAAGTTCCCATATAAAGGTGTATTTCCATTTATAAAACAGCTGTGTTTCTAAAGAGCTCCCCGTAAATCCCATTTTTGAGATGAAGTCGTAATTCTCTGATATAAAACCTACTAAGTAAAGAGCAAGTGTTAGAACCTTCAATTAAAGTTTATTCCCCCATAGGACCCCCTACACTTTCCTGTTATATAGACACAAATGATAAGAAATAATTAGAAATCAAGCACGTATCATTTTAATTAACTTATAAAATTATGTCTTGAAGTTAATACACATTTGGTCTCCTAAATCATTGATGACCACACCAAATGTTCTAACAGACTGAGGCTCTGTTATATTCTAAATCACTAAAGAAAAAGTTTATTATCTTTATTAAGTTAGAAAAATAAGCCAATAACTATGATAAATATTTTCAAGATCAAGTGATAAAAAGAATTTGATACTAATTTAAATAACCCAAAAGTGTACAAACGTTCTTCTGTAGCTTTAGAATCAAAGAGAAAGGAAAATTACTTGGCTGTAACAAGTTAGGAAGAAATGCATAGAAGTTTTGCCAATGAAAATCATTCATGGGCTGGGGATACAGCTCAGTGGCACAGCGACTACCTGGCAAATGCAAGGTCCTGAGTTCAATTCCAGGTCCCCAAATGAACAAACAAAAAAACCAAAAAGAAAATCATTTATTAGGCCACAGGTTCCCAAGAGTCTTCACTGACCAGGTAACTTTTTTCCACTGTGTTTTGAACCACTAAACTGAACCTCAAAATTGTGTATTTCTGTCTCAATAACTTACCAACCATTTGAAAAAGTAACATACATGTGAAATAAAATTTTATTGTAAAATAAATTCTATTTTTATACAACCATGGCTTCTCAATGGGTTGGAAGCGTCTGTTTGGAACTTCAGAAATTATCAAACCTCAGATTTAGATCAGACAGTGTCAGTCATTCTTCCTCCATGATGATTTTCACGCAACAGTCACTTTCAGCCACAGTAACTATCAAAAGCCCACATCGCACAGTATGATGCCGTAAAAAGGGACGCGGGCTGATCTAGTTGGCACTGCACACTGAGGACCACAAGGTGCAAGGTCTCCAACAATGTCGCACTGCCAAGCTTTCCCCAAATACTTGAAGCACCCTACACAGCACTCGCATGGGCGCAGTGCGCTGCGCTAGGGCACGTGAGCTCCCTCCTTGTAAGTTCAGCCCGCTTAAATTTTGCAAACTTCTGTGCATAACTTTTAGCAATGTTTTCAATGTCTAAAAGCAAACACTGAAACAGAATTTCCAGGAATTCTCCAGGCAGCAGATCTGAAGATTTAAGGACATTTAGGGAGGAAGAAGAAGCTTCAGCTTCATCTTCTAAGAAAACTACAACCATTGAAGCTTACTGATGAAGAAGATTAAAGACACGAGAAAACCGATAAGGAATCAGTAAGTATCTCACATTACCCAATTCAATAACAACGTATTTCCTTCTCCTACAATTTCTGTATCATTCTGGACTTTGGGCAAAGAATTTCAGTCTTTATATGAAAGATTTTTACCTCAGTCAAGCATTTCTACTGAGAAAAATGTTGATTTAAACTGCTCTCCTCGGAACTGACTGTTTTGTGGTGCTATAAAGAATTCAGATTAAGCATGACCTGCAAAAATAGACTTATAAAGTAAACTTATGTACTTTGTGGTCACACAACTTATTTTCATCTAAAAATAATTAGGGTTCTTTCATCGAGAAAATGGTTTATTCTTTTTCTAAAGGTTTATTTTTATAACAATTTGTTGAGTTTTGACATATGTACATGCCTATAAAATTATCACCACAATAAAAACAGTGTAATAATAATGAATACAGCATTTCTAACAATTATTCTTATTGCATACTAAGGGAATTCTGCTTCTGGTACTGGCTGAGTAGCTCATCACAAGCCATCCTTCCTTAAGTTAGCAATTATATACTTTGAAGAGAGACCAAAAGCAGAGAAACACTAAAAAGGAATTGATACTACGAAGAGATTAGCACCTGGAAACAACTTTACTGGCTTTTGCTCAAGGGTAGTCCCCACACAAACAGAAAATCACAATCCTACTAGTTTGAAAAACCTGCGGGCAGAGGTAGGAAGGAACCTTGCTAGAAACCCGAACTTGTGTACGTAACATCTACCCAGATCGCTTAGTGATCCCTGAACTATGCGCACAAGCAGGGCAGGCACTGAGATTTCTGCTGCCAACAACCGGAGCTCAAGTTTTGCCAAGCTATCTCCCTGATCAAACCAAAATCAGCTGTTCTCAGAAGCAAAGAGAATCTAGAGTTAGGAGTCAACATACTTTTTATTAAAAGGTCAGACAGTAAATATTTTAGGCCAAGAAGAAACATCAAGTTTCTTACAGTACTGTACAAAATATACTCCAACATTACTAGAAAAACATGTTTAAAAATATGGAAAATATAAGCCATACTCTAAAGGAAAATAGAATTAATGAGCCTAAGGGGACACAGATGTTGGAAATACCAGGCAAAGATTTAAAAGTATTTATTCTGTTAGAATGAATGAATGGATGAATGTTAGAAGATATAAAAATATGCCTGTAACAGACAGAAAGTCTCAGGAAAAGTTACAAAATAGAAAATCCTATCCAAGAAATACCTACACTTAAATCTCAAGTGAGAGAAGCCTTAGTTTCTTCGCAATTTTTTTCACAGCATCTCTGTCCTGGCAGTTTAAAAACTACAGCTCTAACCCTAACAGAAATTCAGGCCAACATCTAGGTAGGTAGGTAGATTGGCTGGTCAAAGAGAAGGAAGGGAGGGACGAGGAGAAGGAGGAGAAAAGACATTCAGTGACTTTAAGTAAAGGATCTACCGAAATAAAGTAAGTGGTATATGTAACATCATATATATTCTAAGCCTATTTTCTACACTTTATAAAATTGATTCAGATTAACTACTTTGGTGCTGACACCAATCAGGAGTGAACATTCAGATACTACATTCTTTTATCCTAAAACCTAGTATTATCCTAAAACATAATATTAATCACAAAACTAAACAGCAAAAATCAGTTAATTCCTAAGAGTTAGAATAACTTAGCAGCAGGAAATAGAAATTAAGCTAAAATTTAATTTTTCTTCTAAAAGCATTAAACATTCCAATTTTTTAAGTATTTCCATTTTATAATAAGCTTTTTCTTCTAAAACCAGATGGAAAGATGAGTGACAATTAGGAAAGAGAAATGCTAGATGTCTTCACTTCTAAATGCAAGAAGGTAAACTATTAATCTAAATTCCAACTAAATACAACTCCAAAAGTATAAGTAAAATCCAGACAGAATTCTTCATCTAAAAAAATTTACCTTGCAATCAACGAACAGTTGTGAATCATGTTCTTTTCAACAAAGATACCTTGGGATTCATCAGTTTCAACTATTCGCCCATCCTGGTACCATAACACCTGCATGTCCTGATCGATGTACGAAGCCATGCACTGGAAGGGCAGGCTGTCCCCTTCAAACACAACCTGGCGGTGGGACGGAGTCATGTAGAAGGACGGCAACTCAAGGGGAGGATCTAGAGATAGTGAAATAAAGACTCGGTAAGCAGGTGCATTTTCACATGTTGTAATTTAAAGATTATACAAGTCCTATGCAAAATTATAAAAACAGCAGCAAATACTCTTCGGGAACCAGCATTCCAGTGCCAGTACTAACGAAGCCGTTACTAAGTCACGTAGGGTGATGGTTTGGGTTGAACCCTCAAGGGCTTGGGCTGGAGCTCCACTCCTAGTGTGCAGTGTGAAAGGTGATGCAAGTAAGAGGTGAGGCCTGGTGGAAGGCCCTGGATTCACTGGGGCCTTGTCCTCAGCGGGGCAAGCTAATCTCCTAGGTATGATGTCATGATAGCAAGCTGTTATTAACCTGAGCCTGACTCCCAAATCGCTCTCTCACTGCCAGTCCTGCTTGACTCTTGTTCCCATCCATGTCCCTACCATGAGGCTTCCTCCAAAAGTCAAGCAAACAAGGCAACTTGACCTTGAACCTTCAGCCTCTAAAACTGTGAGTTAAAAGTGCCTGTTTTTGTTATAAAGTAACCCAGCTTCAGGTATTTTGTTACAGTAAAACCAAAACTAATCTATCGGTAACAGATAAAAACAAGATTAAGTAAAATTAAAATGAAACCATTTCATATTCAGTTCTACCATGTAGAGTTCTTCCTTTTTGATGGTACCATTACCACTATGAAATGATCACAGAAGCAAACTAAATGGGCAAGCTGTGTAACAATAGTTTAATCTAGAAAATGGAACCAGTGATAAATGCTGACATTTTAAAATACATTTTTGAAAACAAATTACAGTACTTTTGATTAAAACACTGGTTTCTGGATGTAAAGGTAATGCATATTCAATGTAGAAAATTTAAAACATTAACAAAAGCAAAAAAAAAAAAACTTTTAAAATCTCATCTTTTATAATCACTTAGTAAAAGATGACATATTTCCTTCATCAGAAAATTAAGAGGCAAAGATTTTAAATATACCTATATGCAAAAATGTACAGCTACCTCAATAAAGCCTTTAAATTATTCAGTTCATTTGCATAACACAAAATTCTATTTTTAACAGTAGTGTATCTTAAAGAATAATAGCAAACATGCAAAAATATACACAAAGAAATTAATTACTGCATTATTTACAGGGTGAGAATTTATTAACAAGCTAAATATGTAGTAATAAATTCCTAAATTATGGCTACAACTATACAATACATTGTTATGTATGTACTTCGTGATAAGGAAATAAGTTTACATAATTTTACCTTTTAAAAGGTCACAAAATATCATAGATATGATGATATTTTTGTCAGACTATAAGAAAAAGGTGCAAAAGATAACATCAAGGTCTTAACACTAGCTGTTTATGAGTGATAAGAACATACATATGAACTTTCTCTGCTTCTTCTAATTTTCTCTATTTCCCTTCCTAAACCTTAATTTTTATTCAGTAAACATATTTTACTTGTGAAACAACAATAATGAGAAAGAAAGAGGGAAAAATAATTGTTTATGTCCAAACACAAATACTACGCTGAAATTCCCTCTGCCATTTTACAGATTTGGTTACAGATTGTGTTTTGTTTTGCTTTTTTATTGAACATTTGGTAAATATGTTATTTTTCTCACACCTTCAGATATTCTTCAAAATCATTATTTTCAAGAGCTGCATATTACTTCATTAAATGGAAGTATCAAAAGTAATTAGAATAATACTCTATTTTTGAGAACTTAGGATATCCTTATACATAAATTTTCAACAATTTACATATACACGTGATCATTTTCAAAGAAATAATTCCAAGACACTGAGTTACTGGATCTAACTGTATCAGTCTTCTAACAACACTGACACATACTGCTGAACTATATTTCAAAAAAATTGAATTACGGGGAGTGGAGGTATATCTCAGTGATACAGTGCTTGCCTCACACACTTTGGGGCCCTTGGTTTGATCCCTAGGAGCACAAAACAAAACAAAACAACACAGATTACATCAACCCACACTTCTATCAACAAATATGTATTTTGAGATTTTATTACTATGAACAAATCCTGATTTTTCCCAACTAATAGAAAATCTTAATACCTATGCTATTCTTTAAAATCACTTTTCATAAAGCTGTTCAGGATCTAGGAATAGCTATATTAAAGGCCAATTGAAAACATAATGCTTTCTAATCCAGGTGGCTTAATTGTTGGCATAAACTCAGTATTATTAAATCCTCTAAGAGTAACAGTTGTATTTCAGGCCCATCAAAAGAATTTTACAGTTTGTCAAGAAAAACGCGCTAGGAGCCAAAATATGGTACACACTTCCCCAGCTTTGATTTCTTCCTTACCGCATGTCAGCAGCTCCTGCTTCACCCCTGTGACTGGCTGAGCCTGCAGCGACTTAGGGTAAACACACCTGGTGTCTCGTACGGTGATGTTCCTCTCCTTTACCCAGCGATGCATCCACAGTATGTTACAGTCACACAAAAGATATTCGGTCTGAAACTCTCTGTAACACACACATTAGAGAGTAGAGTGCAGGACATTACGTAGCACTGTTATTTTACATTGGTTTACCTGTCCGTTGTCGTGAACAGTGCTCATCTCTACCACACCTGTACCATTACACCATCAACTGGTTATGGCCTTCTAGCCAAGGACCCATCACTGGAGTGCTGGACCCCAACCCTCTTCCCTACTGATGTACTTTAGCCCAAGTTGGTAAGAAAAGAAAAACGTCATCAGATATTCCTCTTCTGTGCAGCAAGTTCCATAATCCCAAGGTTCTAGAATACCAAATCCCCATTCTCTCTGTCCATCAAACCCGTATCTATTTATCATAATAAAGCACACGGCGATAGTTTTAAATCGTGAAGCCTCCCCCAACTTTTCAGTATGGTTGCCGCATTCGTGGTCCAAATGCCCACAGTCTTTCCTGTTGATTTTGGCAGTGGAATAGCAACATGCAGCAATACAAGGACTATTTTGTGTGGCTATATTCTGGACATCTGACAAGACTGGAGGGTTCTCAAGGGTGGAAACTAATTCTGACATTCTTTTCCTGGGTAGCAGGTGACACCACAGATATTTACAAATTTAAGGAGTAAAGACTCAGCAGATCAAAAATACAAAAAAAAAAAAAAAAAAAAAAAAAAGAGTATTTCATGCTTAATATGAAAGAAAACAGAGAACTATTTTTAGACGAGACAGAAAACCCTGTAACAGCCTGTGAAGGGGTACACACACAGAGTTTGGATGTATGTATGGTATATACAATACTTCCCTGAACTCTCTTTTCACTAAGCATCCGTTATGTATGTCACCTATTATGCTAAATCCAGCTAGTAAAAATAACAAGTTGCTGCCCCCTGCCAGTATGGAGTATATTACATAACAGGAGGAACAAAACACAAATATACCTGAAACAGAATGTAAAACATTCCATAAAAATGAATCAACGCAGTGCAAACAGCAAACCTAAGAGTTCATGTGTCTAACAGCCATAGCACATTTGAACAGGGAGCAACTCACTAGTCTGGGGGTAGAAAAAAGCAAAGAGAAAACAAATTTTAAAAATAACACCAACAGAGTAACCCGACTTCTATTCCTAAGCATCATCTTCTGATTAGTTTGTAACACTGCCAGGTAAAAGCCCTGGCAGTGTTTCCCATCTTCTGGATGCAAATACTTTCCATATTCCTGCTACACCTGACCTTAAAAAGTCAAGATTATCCTTTGCGATTTTATTGCTTAAACTTCACAGAAGTGATGAGGATGGAAGCACCTGCCTGGCATTGCAACACCCTGGGTTCAATTCCCAGCACCAATAAAAAACGAAAGCACAGGCTGAGCCACGCCAAGCGTGCCTGCAGTTTCAACACTCTGCCACACTGTTGCAGGAGGACCTCACATTTGAACCCAGCCTGGGCAAGTGAGACCCTGTTTCAAAAGAAACAAAAATAAAAAGGGCTGGGGATGTAACTAAGTGCAAAAGGCCTGCAGGTTTAACCCCCAGGACTGCAATCAAGCAATCAATATCAAAACCCAGAGCAATGAGCCCACTCAGGGTGTCAAAAAGAGCTGTTTCCACTCACAAGCAGCCCTCTCCACAGAAAAATAGTGGCACTGGAAACAGAGACCACACAAATCTGACCAGATGGGACGCTAGAAGCACATACTTAACCGCAACACGGTGGGGCAGCCAGATAAGAGCCCCGACTGCTGACTCCAGCTACCTGCCAGGAGAAACTGCTAAAGAGGCTGAAGCAATACATTTGCAGAAGGAAGGGAGAGGGTGGGGACAAGGCACGGCCAGGCCTTGGGTTTGACTCCCCAATACCACACAAAAGGGGAAAAGAGGGAGGGAAGAAGTCAACATATACTGAACAAAGGCATCTGGTAGATGAAAAATTTTTCCTTGGGAAATGACTCTATCTTATCAATCCCCTAACCCAGAAGAAAACTGGAAAAAAAAAAAAAAAATTAACTAATTCCAACAGAACTAACTTACAGTTTGACAGGGATCAAGGTTTACCTGGAAACACAGTCACTTTCAAAAGCCATTTAACAAAATTGTGTCTGGGGACAATAATTAACCAATCCTTATAAAGTTAATCAGAGCTGTGTGAACAAGATCTTACACCAACTTCATAAAGCAGGCCCTCAATGAACATCCCTAAAAACATCAGTAGTAAATTGTGAATTCAGTATGGACAGGGATTACAGGATAAAATTAAATCCTTAAAGTATAAAATACTCTTCACCATAAATTCTTCTCCAGAAGGATAGTTTACACTTTAGGGACTCAATTAGTGAAACAACAAAAATACTTACTGATTTGAAAACACAGTCAAAGAGAAACAATTAGAATTTATATACTCAGAACCTAGATTAGAGTGATAAAGGATTCTGAGAAGAAAACGGCCATCCTAGTCTGAAATGCATTACTGAGTTTTACTGTATATTTTTCAGTGTGAATGTGGGTTCCTAAGTAAGCGTCTCATTTTTGCAAATTCACAAGATGTCCCTCATGAAATCTCTTGAACTACATAATGAGCACTGTAAATTTTCAGAAATGAATATATGCTGAGTAATACAAAAACTTCTTACTTACAAAGACCGCAATGAGCCAAGATAATCAAAAGTTCCTTGAGACAAGGAAGAAAACAAATTCCCCGAAAGGTTTCTGGAAAAACAAGGAAATAATTTTACTTTGAAAATACTTACAGTTATATCAACTTTCAACTTTTTCAAATGCCTAGCAATCACTACAGAATGTTACAAAGAATTAAAGTGTTTTGTAAAGAGTGAGTAATTAGTACACTTCCTCCAGGATTTGGGGAGGAAAGGCATTCTTAACCCTATACAAAGCAGCTATGTGTGAACGTTTTCTTTAAATATCAATGCTAGATAAGCATTTTTCTGTGGAGTATCAAGTGATCCTAAAAGGGGCTTTACTGAATTTGTCCAAAATAACTCTTCATATGTTCACTCTCCATCACTTGAAAAGTAGGGGATGGGAGGGGATTAAAATCTTAAAAAAATAAGAGAAAAGACTGGTGTCCTGATCAGCAGTAGACACACCTGAAACTGAGTGAAAAACCTGAGAACAGTATTGAGTCCAGGGGCTCAAATGACTTAAACACAATGTAACCTTGGTGTTGAGCAAATGACACCATCTCTCCGGTTCCCACTTGTACCAGATGGCTTTGATATCCTACACCAATGCTGCAACTGGAATACTCTGCAACACCCACGTGATTGGAGAACAGCATTTCCTCCAAGTCTGACACTCAGCCCAGGGGGACTGGAGCACAGCCAGTACTCCCGATAGCTAGAAGCTGGAGCAGACAGCAGAGAGAGGTAGCCGGCTGCTAAGGATGTGCACCTCGCCTTTGCGGGACTTCTGACAGTAAAATGGGACTGAGAGCTCTGGGAAAATGGCAACATGATCCAACTGCCACAAGATCTGTCCTGTGCCTGTACTATTATCAAAAACAGCTAGAATTTAGAACTAGAGCTCTCAAGGGGTGAGGTGGGACAGGGCACAGCAGAAGCCCGGAGAGAGCTCCAGGAGCTTGCAAGGTGCAGCGAGGCTCTCCTCTGACTCTGAGAGGAATCCCTCAGGTATAGGAGAGTGATTCTCTTGCAGATGGACTCCCCAGTGTGGCCAAAGGAGAGAAAGATCCGGAGGAGAGGAGTAGATCCTGTTACACCTGCAGCCAGGAGTTCCTGCACTGGAACCCCAGCTCAGACCAACTAACTAGTCTTCACCAATCAGTACCCAGCTAAGTTCTGTAACAACAGCCCAGATTTGTTTTTATATATGTTTATAATGGTGACTGTGTCAACTTGAGAAGTAAAGAGAAGCTTAATGAATCACCCCAGCAAGTCTACACCCTAAGATGTAGAAGACCCAGCCTAGGGCGGTTTGTCGCCTGATGGCATGAAGGGGAGATGAGGAAAGACTGATCTGCTTCTGTTCTTCGGAGAAGCTCCCGTTTTCACCTTCAGCTTGGACGTCATCTCCTGGCTTCCAGCACAGGTTATCTGGCTTCTGCCTTGGGTCCTTCAGTCTTCCAGCATAGACTCTTCAGCTTTCCATCGCAGACCCATCGGCCTCTTGATACAGACTTGCACAGACACCGTGGTGAGCTCCAGGCCTTGGACGGAAACCTTCAACCCTCGGTGTCCAGTGTGCAGACACTCTCTGCACTTTCTCATCTGATTCTGAGGGTGCCTGCTGTAAGCCAATTTCTTATGCATTTGTGTATCTTGTGTCATACGTTTCTCTAGTAAAGCACTGATTGATACAATGCTTAAGAATTTTTTTTCTTCCACATCCAGAAAGTCTGGATGAACTGTTGCTGATGCTCATGGGAGAAGTGTCTAAAATCTTTAAAAGTGCAAGCAAAAATGTACACATGCAGATTGTAAGAAGAGTAAAAGATGCCTTTCTCCTTCCTAGCCTGGCAGAGTAGGAACCAAATGCCAATTCTGAAAAAGACACTTGACTGATGGGAGTGTAAATCACTGTAACATTTTAAGAAAACAATACTCATTCCACTAAAATGAATAAATGCGCTTTTATGATGCTCTTCTAGATGAAATTATTTGAATATTGTTATTGTTTATAATGGAGCAGCATGAAGAAATGGGATGTATAACCACATCAAGAAGGCCTATGAGTTGCAAAGCATTGAAACTATCCAATGGGTACACAGTAATTTCTCTATAGAGCTACCTTTAATTTTTGTTTAGATGGTCTCAAGATTCATAACGGTAAGTTGGAAACCAAAAAAATCCATCCTACAAAAGTAGGACTTAAATATAAATATAACAACTTCATTTTACAAAAACTAGTGGATTTAAATATAGTTATTATTAGATATTTTCCCTTGGAAATCACAGGAGAAGGAAAAGGAACAACACTAGAGAAGTAAGTCCCAGCCACAAACTAATTTTCCTTCAGTAGTTGAGGGGGAAAAATACCCATTGTTTGGCTGCACATCAAGTAAAGTCATTGGTCTGCAGCTGGGGGCCAGAAAAATTACACATACTTTACAACGCTAGAACCATAGTCCAACACCAAAATGCTTACAAAGACAGCCAAAGGGAACTGAAAATGACACAGAAAAGAACGAAAATTAAGATCCACAACAGTAAAGCCACCGTTTCCAGTGTCACAGTGAGCTCCCTGCATGTGTGGCAAGACAGTTATCCACCTGTCCTCCCTTCCTCCACTTTACATTGCCATGTTTACTGTTTCAATTTTTCAAATTCACATGCTTCTTGCCAACAGACACTTGGAGTTACACGTGTATGACACATCGCCTGTGTGCATATAAAGGGGTGTTTACCAAGGCGTATTTTTAAAGGAGGAGAAATACTCTGTAGCTAGGAAAAAGCATGAACTGAATCAGCAAATACTCTCTAACTCATACATTTTTTTAAAGTAGGTTGCCAAGTAATGTGCATTTCCAAAGTCCTATATATGTAGCTATCCATATGTGAAGGCAACAGAAAAGAAAATGTGAAAATATATATGTATCAGATCACCGACAGGGCCTATCTCAAAGTGGTCTGAGTGGTCTGACTAAAATGACACAGGAAGTGTAAATTTCATATTTTTACATGATTACTCCATAATGTGTATAATTTCCACATATTTTTGTATGTCTGTGCAAAGGGAGTTCTTTACACAAACACTTTATATACATATAATTTTCTTCATAAATAAAATTGTATGGGAAGTTGTGACTCAAAGATTTTTGATAAAGAAATACTGTGGACAGAAGGCTTGGAGAAAAAATACAGGTTTTAAACTCACTTCCTAAGCAAAGGACAGAGAACACGTGTTGTATCTGTGGTCAGCTAGCTGTCCCCTGTCAGAGCAGCACAGCGTGGACACCCTTAGGCGTGCAGCGCCATTTATCAGGGAGTCTTCTCGAGAACAGCTCCATCTGTGAGAGCAGAGATCAATATGGAGAAGTCATCGATTTTACACCACCAACCCCAACCCTGTCCGCTGAGGCCTCAGATTCACCTTGAGAGAGTTATTTTTCAATGTGTAACTAAATCCCAATGCTAGGGCTTGTTTCAGAATGATAAGAAGCGTGTGCCAGAGCACTCTGGCCTGTCTGCCATGGTCTCTCCAGGGCCTCGGAGTCCAGCTCTCTTGGCTGAGAGGTCCAATGGCTCTCAGGTCCCTGCTGACAAGGTGACCCGGAGAGTTTGCTGAAGAACTGGTAGAGGAAAGAGCAGAACAGGGATCCATTCAAGACTCGCTTTCAGACACCTTCTGGGACCTCTCTGACTCCTACAGGAGACTTCTGCATGCCCTATTACTTTTTCCACTTGCTGGATTGACAGAATGCTCTTTTCATCCCTGAAATACAAACTGCTGTTCGCTTCAGAAGCAGCACGTGGCCTGGCTCACAGAGCCCAGAAATCTAAGTGCGAGGGAATTCTACACAAGGTGCTTCCCCAGAGTGTCCAGAGACCCAGCACTAGACCAGCGATGGCGAACCTTTTAGAGGTTTCAATGATAACAAACAGCCGGTTGTGGCACACATGCCATCGATTCGTCACCGCTGCTGCAGACCTACCTGGACACAAATTATGATGAGCAATTTCACAGAAACACAGTCTTGAATGCTAAGAAACTACCTCAAAAGTCATTTGCTCTTTAAAAAACATTAAACAATGTAAGCCAGATGTCATTTTGCACACCTGCAATCATAGCTACTTAGCAGGCTGAGGCAGGAGAATTACAAATTTAAGTCAAGCCTGATAAACTAATACTGAGACCTTGTTTTAAAATAAAAAATATAAAGGACTCGGGATGTAACTCAGTGTGTAGGCCATGGCTTCAATATCCAGCATTGCAAAAAAGGGGAAAGTGGTGCTTCAAGCCTTTAAAACTGGTCTATTTCTGAATATCACACAGATCAATCTACTTAAAAGAGTCCTAGTAATCTCTTATGACATGGGCTATAAAATCACCTCAATCAACTCTCAAAGCAGGAAGCCTGACAGTGTTATCTCTATGTTTTAATGACTCACCTGGACAAATACCTTCACTGTGTCCCATGCCCTGTAAACTCTCACAACTGGTATCAGATGAAATTGGTAAAAATGTACTGATATGACCTAAGTTGTGCCAGAACTACCAAAACATTGAACTTTTGAGACAGGAAGAAAAGGAAATAATAAAAAAATAGTAACTTGCCCTAACCAAGCTCTGCTCCACAGAGCTCTTCCTACATGACGTTTATTGATGGTTCAAATCACAGGGCCAAAGCCAGAAATCAATCTAATAAAAAACAACACAATAGTAAACTCTGGATTCTTGCCCTGAGTCAAAGCTATCTAAAGATACAGTAAAAATTCCCCTCCTAACAGTATAAATACCGAAAATATAAAGCAGTCCTCAAAGCTAAAATTCCATGGGGATGGGATGTAGGGAATTAGAGGGTACAGAACAGAGGGGAGGAGAAGGGGAAGTAAAGAAGATGGAGCCAGGCACACGTAGGTACAAATCCCCCAACATGGATGTCTTCATGATGTATGACAAACATATACTAATAAACAAGGGGAATAAAGATACATATATCTCAAGAATAAGACTAAAACCACTGGAAAGGAAAGGCTTGCAGTTCAGTTACAAAACAGTTAAAATAAGATTGATTTAATTGATTTCAACTCATGAGTAAAGCATAACAAATCAGTTCTGTAATACTGAAGATTGATGACAGGGGCATCTACATTCCCAGCCCTTTTTATTTCATGAGATAGACTCTCACTAAATTGTCTAAAGTAGCCTTTAATTTTTGATCCTCCTGCCTCAGCCTCCCAAATAGCTGGGATTATAGGCATGCACCACTAGTACACCTGGTCAAAATCAATCTTTTATTTAGAAACATAAATTAGGCCATGTATTTTCCCCCCAAAGTAAAGGACACTATGAAAGAAAACATCTGCAAGTCTCTTGATTAAAGAAGCAGGAGTACTTGGTCCTATAATGATTAAAAGTCTCTTCCCTTAGAATATACATGAAATAATCTCTCTATTTGAACTTCTAATTGCTTTTTCAACGTTAATTTAAACCAGGCGTGGTGGCGCACATGTGTAATCCCAGCACTTGGGAGGCTGAGGTAGGAGTATGGCTGTGAGTTTGAGGCCAGCCTGGGCTACACAGTGAGTTCAAGGCCAGTCTGAAATACACAGTGAGACCCTGTCTTAATAAAACAAACAAAAAGAAGTTAACTTGAATGAAATAAAGGAACATTTCTAAAAAGCACCAAGGAGAAGGCACAGGAGTGGACCACTGTGTATTAGATCTTCCTCTGCAAATATGACATTTCCTGCTGAACCCTACTCCCAGTCTGCTCATCTAAAACATTGTTCTATGCCATTTGCTCATACTCATGCTGCTCAGTCCTAAGCCCCTGTCTGCTTTTCATACATTTCTAACATAAAACCTTATAGGTAACCAGCCTCATTTCTAATTACTCCCCAAAGGAATATCTTTACTTCAACAACTGAGGGGTTACACAAAGCTTTCACATTTATATTATACATAAATTACAGATAGAAAGCTACAAATAATTTAAGCCTTTAAATAACTTTGACCATAAACAAACAATGTTAAACAACTCACCAGGAATCACAGGGCCAGAGGCTCGATGTAAGCAGTTCCTTTACTCAAGCCCACCGGCCTCCCCTTGAAAAACTGCTGTTGTTCTCATTTCCCCCCCGCCGAGCAGCCCCAATTCAGCTTCTTTCCCTTCCAAACATTTGCAAATCTTCTACAGGGCCAGCTCACTTTTTTTACCTCTTCCAAAAAATTTCCCCGGATTAGCAAAGCTTTCAGTCATATCCCTTAACGTGAATGTGTCAGTGCCGCATTGAATGTGTGTGCGCCTGTGTGTGCACGTATATGTGTGTGGTGTGCTACTGTGTTACAGGTTGAGGACCCTAATCAGAAAATCTAAAATCCCTAATGCTCCAAAACCCAGCACTTTTTGAACAATGACATGACGGCTCTGGTGGAAAATTTCATACTATAACACTTTGTTTCATGAATGTACAAAAAATTTCTACTCTTTTAAAAAAATGTTTTTATTATTTATTAGCACATGTTTGTAGCACATAATGATCACATTCATGGCAGGAAGTTGATACATGAACACCACACATTTTAATTCTTTTCATGTCCCCTTCTCCTCCTCGCCCTCCTTCCATTTCCGGGACCCCTTCCCATTTCTACTAGATTCAGTTCCCTATTTCCTAATATGCACAAAATCCTGTAGCTACTCACACACAAATTTTTTTTAAAACACTATACAAAGTTGTCTTCAGGGTCTGTGTACAAGGTGTCTATGTAACATAAATCTCATGCTTAGATTCAGGTCTCTCCCCAAGATCATCTCACTACACATATGCAAACATTCCAGTAACTGAAAGAATTCAAAATCTGAAATACTTCTGGTCCCAAATAGTTTTGGTAAGGGACAGTCAACCTGTAAATTACACTGAGGGCAGTACATCTCCATGATTAATTGTGAGCTCCTTGTCCCTTACCGCTTTTACAATCAGTGCAATTGCTTTTTAACATTACACGTATCTGAGGTGTTCACAAACACTTGGATTCTGGTTCCAATAACACCTTATATCTTAATGGGAAAGAAAAGGTACTTACAGCCGAACCAGATTGGTGAGTCCTCGAAATATGTCTGCATTCAGACACCCTATTCGATTGTTGGTCAGGTCCCTAAGGAGAAAGAACCGGAAGTGTGTGCAGTTAGTTCTCTTAAATAATAAAGGCCTTACACATTCAATATTCAAGAATGGCCCCCAAGGATCACACCGCTCCTTCCTTCTCTCTATCTCAGACACTTGCCCACCTCCAGTGAGAAAAGAACGGCACTCAGAGAAAACGATTCTTGCTCTCACTTAGTTCTGGTACACACACACTAAATGCTACTTAATTATATTTCAAGCACTGACTCCTACAAAATTAGTCCAGATAAAGCCGGAGAGTAAGACTCGATCTATCTTACTGTCCGTGACACAATTCCTGGGGTGACCTACGGGGTTAATTATGCCAGGGCAGCTGGAGAACTGAGTCCAATCTCAGCCAGCAAATAACAGATAATGGATAAAAGGGTAAATTATCAAAATGATGGAACTTTTATTTCCTCAGGAACATTTGAGACTTAATGCTTTTCCTTAACTTTATAATGCTTCTTCATTATAGTCAAAACTTCTGAGTTTTGACTATAATGAAAAAACTGAGTCAGCTTTTACTTTACAGATCTATCATTCAGTCTCAAGCCAAATTACGTTAGCAGCACTAGGTAATGGCCCAATTATTTTTTCAGTCAGGCCTAATTTCTATTTCCTGATAAATATTATTTTCTAAATATTTTTCTCTTTTCACTCTATGGAGTATTTTTCTCTTCTCACTCTATGGCATATTTTTCTTTTCATGTATACTCAATTTTTGGTTAGTATTGTGCTCTCTGCAATCCCTGCACTTTGTGGGGCTGAGGCAGGAGTTTGGAGGGTTGTAAGCTGGTGCCCAGCCTGGGTAATGTGGTGACTTAGTGAGATCCTGTTTCTGAATGAATGAACAAATGAATGAATGGGGATGCAGTTCAGTGTAAAAAGACCTTGGGTTTAAACCTCAGTACTGCAAAAAAGAAAAAAAAAATTTTTTTTTCTTCACTTATTTTACTTTACACCAAGAACAATGAACACAATTTCAATTTTGCATTAAATCAGAGACCTACATGGGTTATAAGCAAAAAGTTCAAGCTGCAAGATAACAATTTACAATTTCTTTAACTTTCAAATTGAAATGCCTTGCCTTTCACTGCTGTTCACGGGAGGACTTGGTACACTCTATGCAAGAAACTCCTCCAATGAAGAATCTTAATTTTTAGTTGTTAGGTTTTGAATAATTCAGTATATTTTGAATTTCAATAAAATTATTAGAAAAAGCTCCCTCAACCAAACTTCCAAAAATTCTTTATCATATCGCCCTCAATGTCTGTGTTATTCTCTGTCATGGAAAAGTATGCATTCTTTCAACAACACTCTTGAATTATTCTAGAAGAATCATTTAAGGCACCATTTCCAAATAAAAACTGCTGCATTCAATCTGTATAATTGCTAATAAAGGAAAACATCTTAGTTTGACTATAAACACAGCACTTGAATCCAGTATCTACTAGTTTATGTTTTCTGCTATACATTCTAAAAGCTACCTTACATCAGCCTGATTTTCAGTAACTTCATGACTTTCCCTAACTTTTGCTAAAAGAATCTTGAGTAGTACAAATCTTCATCTGTGTGTGTGATGCATCCCTCAATCCCCTCTGAATATTAAATTTAAGTATTTAATGGCAGGGGACTTCTCTTTTTTAATTCCAGTAGATTTGCCTTTTACTTCTGGGTTTTACTGTTTAAGAAAATAAGGCATCATCTTGTGAATTGTTGCTTAAACAAGCATTTCTGGATGCAATTCATTATCCTGTCTCAGTTCTGAGCTTTGAATGGTGTAATTACCATTGATTCTTTGGGAAACAATTTCATTATAGCTATACCTACTTAAAATGGAATTTAGGTATTGACAATGGGTTTTCATTTGGGTTGAGAATCGGCTTCAATTTGTTGATAAAGCAGAAGAGCAACTGAATGGGACTAAGTTTCACCTATTTCTGGTAGTTAATTTTTCAGGAAGCTGCTTAATCTTCCTGATTCAAATTATCTTTAAACTAAAGGCAAAGGCATACGACACTTACAGGAATGCTTTATGTGTGGCTGTTGAGAAGGATGTACAATTGAGAAGAATGATTTAAGGGCTCATAAGAAAAAGTGCCTGTCTCTATAAGCAACTGCAGAGTATCTTTACATCCCATTTAGTTTATACAAAGGACTCCTTCAGCTTGCAAGTTGTATACCGTAAGTTCAATTACAAGTCAGCTATTTGGAATTAAGAATGTATTTTCTACTGGGAAGAACATTACAAATGGCAATTACCTTCCTAGGCAAGAACACAAGAGACCACTTAATGTGTAATGCAATGAAAAAATGCTAAGGCAATGCCTAGTACAATATCAGTAATTAAATTAAATGCTACCGAATATGAAATTTTAAAATTTATTTTAGATGGCACTACTTAAGAAATTATTTAGGGTAAAGAACTAGATGGAGAACCTCTGCAATATCTTTAAAACATCCCAATAAAACTGCTTTTTATTATGAGTCAAGTTTCCTCCAACCTGTATCTCAGCATAGGGTTATCATTCACGTTAACCTCTGTATTACCGAAAAAGCTGGGAATACAGTGGTACTGTAGATCAGAGAGAAGGAATAAGTAGCTCTAAGATATGATGGTGTCAGAACTCCTCCCACAAAGAAAAAGCAAGACAGAAAATATCCTAGGAGGTCTCAAACTCAAGCATCAACATCAATGGGAAGGACAGTCACAACACAGATGTTCCCCTCCTGGTTTTTGACAGAACAGGTCTAGCCTTACTTCAGGTTCCTGCTGGAAGACTTGGGCAGAGGTGCAAACTGACCCAGTATGGCTGTCACTGTCCTAAATCAAGCTACTTGCTGCTGCCCTCTCCTCCCGAATGACACCTACCTGAGTTTGCACAGCTGAGCCCTAACAACCTCCAGACTCCTAGCAGCTAAACCCTAGCCAGTGCTTCACCCTTCCATATGACCAGATGCCCATTCTGGAGCCAGGCTCTTGGCTGGTGCACACCAGCCTCTCTCAGGGATCCTGGGTTTCCTGGTGTCTCTGGAGCCCCACCCAGCACACAAAACACATATGCTGAATTTTCACTGAAGTCAGCTGACATAGGTCTCTGCCTTGCCGCTCTGCTCTGATGACACTGCTACACCTAGTTGATGCTAACTTTAATGGACTCAACACCTGGCTTGACTGGCTGCAACTCTGACACCACCTAACGCTCAGGCTGCCCCAACTCTTATCTCCTTGTCTAGAGATCCAATCTCCACTAACACCAGCCAGATTCTGAGCTGTTTCATTAAGTAAAAGTGCAAAGTGAGTGGAAGAGAAGAAAACTGATTGGTAGCAAGCTTTCCTCCACCAGTCCCTGGGCTTCCACTGAATGTAGCGCAGAATGAAAACCACAGGGCTCACCACTCAGACCTCGGCAAAAGCTCTGATACTAAAAGGTCATGGTCTACAGGCCCAGACTAAAATTAAAATAACTTTACAGGAGGAAGCAAATTCTCTAAATACTATTACTGTCCAGCTTACAGAATTCTGACCCCTAAGGCTGCCCAGAGAGAAATGAGAAGATGTTAAACATCAGATAAAAGATATTTTACTTGGAAAAGCAGTAATGGGATGAGGGTGGCTCAGTGGTAGAGCTCTTGCTCCAGCGGTATGTACAAGGCCCTGGGGCTCAATCTCCATGCTCAAACAATGAAAATATAGCAGCAATAATTTTTAAAACCCTGTGAAAATAGCATGAGGGTGATTTTGAACTGAAAGCAACTGAGCAGAAATAGACACAAGAACAAGTTTTCTGTCTTCTCCTTTGTCAAACAGGGCTTACATTTAAAAAGGGGTCCCTCCTCCTCTCTCTAGCAGGGAGGACAAAAGTCCTCCCCCAACAGGACTTGCTAGACCCTTATCAGCCCAGAGCGCTCACCAAAGGAATGCACAAAGCAAACATTACAAATTAGGCTTTAACTACTATTAGTTTCTCCTTTATTTGCTTTCCCACAATCTGTGGCCCACAGAGACCCAAGGTCCTTTTCCTTTGTCCTTCTCTAACTCTTGGTAATCTGTCTTCTGTTATCAGGGTCCTAGCCAAGAACTTCAAAGGGGAAAGGGAAAATTATTGTTCCTTCCCTACATTACCTACTTCCCCTCAAGAGTCTATGAGCACAGTAAGGGACAGTGCTCAACAGTGTCTTTGGAAGGAATGAGGAGGGTGAGTCAGTCTGCTTGTCTTGCATGGAGAATCATTTCTCAAATGTGAAAAACTGTGCAAAGAGCATGGGGCAGGGTGAGGGATTACCTTTGGAAGCAATAAAAACTGGCCCTTTAGATTTCAAAATAAAAAAGCATTGATAAAATACACGTGAAAATGGCAGGACTTTCACATCATTAATAGAAAGGCACTCTATGTCACTTACAACAGATACAGTTTCACTGGAGTCAGAACTCACAAATCATCCACAGATTAGCTTGGCCTGCAGAGCCAACATGGTAATCATTTTATTAGCCTAAGAGGGACACAATAATCCAGCAGGAAACAAATCACATTTATGCAAATTAACTGTACTCTAAGCTACTTATATTAAATTCTCTCTGTTCTTCTGTAAGATATTAGGCCAGGTGAACATCTAGAAATTATTAAATATTTCTTGTCATGCTAAAGTAAGTTAATAACTACTTCTGAAAGAAACTGTTCAAAATTCATAAGCAATTCAAACACTCACAATCTTTTTAGCGATGACAGTCCCCAAAAGGCACCTGGATCTATACTACTAATAAGATTGTTCCGGAGGTCCCTGTTAAAAATAAAATAAGAGTTACTTGCATATCAGCACTGCAGCAAATACCAGGCATACTACACTTACCCGCTATACAGAAAACAGCAGTAACAATGACGATGGGAACCGATGGAAGCTAGGGATCACCTGAGAAGGAACTGACAGAACTAACATTTGAGAAACGTGGCTCCAAAACCTTTTGCTTTGCAGTATAAGAACAAAGGCATGTCATAAAGTGTACATGTGTTCTAATACGCTTCAAATCCAAGTTGTCACTTAACTACATAGACGTTATTTCTCCAGTTTCTTACTCAGCAGGCTGTACTTGGGTTATCAAAGTACATCTGTGGTTGTATTTATCACAAACACCATAACACTGAATTTTTTTTTTAAATCTTTGAAAACACACACTCTAATATTCACATCATTTGGGTTTTTGTTGCTGTCGTTATTTTTTCTTCCCTGGGCTTCTGTGATCGGGTTTACTATAAAGTGAGAATACAAATAAATATATGATGACTCGCATGATGGCTCAAAGCAAGGATGTACAAGCCCTCTCGTGGCACCTGAGAGCAGTCACATTTTACTGTCCTTAAACACACCGGCAACTCCATGCCAGTGCCCTACCGTGGGGACAGCCGTGCACGCCTACAGACTTCCCTCTGCACCTACAGGGTTTGGGAAAGCCGGCTGAGCTGTTGCCGTCCCCAGTGCCGGAGCGGGTGCGGGGACTGTGACCATGCTCCACAAAGTGCGGAGCCGAGAGTCACAGACCAGCCTCTTCTGGGGCCGGCAGTCTACATGCCGACTGGCCCACACTTCTGCTGTGCCTGGCATCCTAAGGTGAATCTGTCCGTCAGGCAGATGGGATTGCTCTCTGAGTAATTCAAGCTTGCCCCTTCCTTCTGCAGCCACACGTGAGCCTCCTACACCCGTCTTCATGACTATCCACAGCCCAGGGATGGGGACACTGCAGGTGGCACTACACTGGCACACAGAGGAATGCTCAGTATGAGGCAGGACAGCAGGAGCCTCTCATTCTTGATTTTACTTGAGATGTTCGAGGCCACACTGGAAGTAGACGCTGGACCTGGTGCCACCTGTTACATAACAATGAGGTGACTTGCATCACAGGGTACTTTAAGGACTATTTCTCCCTTACGGACACTGTAGCCCATGCCTGGGCAGTCTGAATGACTGTTCTCTGACAGCAACCCTGGTCTGCCTTTTCAGACCTCTCCAACTCAGGCAGCACCAGGCAAGAAAAGGCCTCCCAGAAACTCCTACTGCAGTGAGTGCAGACTCCGTGTCTCTTCTTCCACCTCCTTTGCAAGAACATTCAACTGTGCTGCCCCACCCATAGACAAAACTACCTGCTGCGTGGCCCGATTCATACCATGTCATTTTCTTTCTAACAGCTTAGCCTAACTATCGGTAGAACAAAATCGCAGCAGTGGGGTTGGCCTCTGGAGAGGTTTCCTGGAAAACACACGGAACTTTCTGATGAGGTCACCCATTGCTCATCAGCAGAGACGCTCATTTACTCCAAGCCCAGCACTCTGGACGCGTCACTGGCACTGTGGCTTCCCACACTGCCCCTGATGTTTAATACATGGTGACAGAGACCGACTAACAATTCTCAAAGCCAATTCTCGGGAAGTGAAACCTCTGAATCCTGTAAATACCGCAGCGTCCAGCTTTCCGGTGTCTCCCACTCTCCTCACACACCACGGGCTCCTCTGGACTGAGACTCGGGGCTGCGGGTCCACAGCCTCCTTGCCAATTAGGTGGGATTTTCTAAACAAAACTGAACACCCTCTCTCCATACTTCACAATACTTTTATTAAAAAAAAAAGAAATAACTAAACATAGATATAAAACTTATGTGCTGATGACATTACTAAATAAGCACTTCGCTGATCAGAATTCAGAGTTATACACTACAGGAAGTAAACAGCTTTGTGAACACTGGCAATCACCCCGACTTTTGGGGAATCTGTAAGCTAGCTTCTAAAGTATTTTCTAACTAAAGTAACTAAAAACACCAGGCAGAGTTCGGAAGCTTCCCTATACACACTCAGATGGCAATAAAAAGTCTTAAAAGATCCTCAGGTAAACTCAATTCCTAGCCTTCTCTCTGGACTTAAAAAGCTCTTCAGTTCTTTTAACTATGAGTAAAGCGATCGTTCTTAGTGTAGAAGTTTGAATAAAAGTGGAAAAGCGTGCAGAGAGTACGTTCCTTGCTTGGAATACCACATTCCTGTCCCCCGGTCACCTGCCTCAGGTCCCAAATGGGCATTGCACCCTCCTGTGTGGTTTTCCGCTGGCCACCTCCACAGTCAGTGCATGAAGATCAGAGGGCAGGGACAGCCCTGGAAGAGCCCTTGCCCCTTGAGAGAGGTGAAAAGCCAACTATCCCAGCTACGGAGGATGGGAGTTCTGAGACGTGTTTCTCACCAGCTCCCAAAGTCCCGAACAGGCTGCAGCAGGAACTGCTCTGCGACCATGACACACTTGCTGGCCTCCTGCCCTTCCTTCTCAGGGTGTCACTCCCAAGGACAGAGCCTTCTGGGACTCCTCCCAACACGTCGGCTGACCTCACATCTTTCTCAGGGCCTCTTCTAGGGAAAAGCAGGTTCTTATATTCACTGGTAAATGTGATCCCGCTAATGCCTGGACCAAGCATTAACACCCAACTGCTGTAGAGACCTAAGAGGACTGTCCATTCCATTCTGAGGGAAACAGAAGAAACAGACCAGTAGTCATTCAAAAATTCAAAACTGTTAGGATAAGGGGAGAGAGGAAAGGGCAGCAGCTATGAGACATTCCAGAATCCAGTAATGTCAACACCGATGACCGCTCTCAATAACTTCAGGTTTAGGCACTGTGCCTGGCACAGGTTTGGGGTTGTGTGCATGCAAACTTCTCCCTTGACCTGAGGGGGACAAACAGTATACACAGTACCTGAACATTCTCCATACCATCCCTCCAAATATGGCAACTGATCAGCCCTGCTCAAATCTCTCAAATACACTGGATTTGGAAGCTGTCGTGATCACGTGACCCACCAAGAGCAGGGCTGCCGTTTCCACTCATCCGTTGAGAGGTCACAAAGTGAGCTTGGAGGTGTTAGCGGCCCTTCGTTACAAAGGCAGCAAAGCTCATCTGATTCGCCAAACAGAAAGAAAAAAAATAACAACTGGTGAATCCGGGATCTGAAATCTAGCCCTAACTCTGGGATCCTCACTAAATCCAGTGAGCTGGAGTCTGTCCCTTACCAGCCCATTAGGACCTAGGACACAGTATCAGGACTGCAGATGAAAAAATTTGTGTGCGAAAAGATTAAGAAATTCGGCCAAGTTCTTGATGTTCACAACTGGCCAGGATTTAATCATTTCTTACTGATATCACGAAATATACTAAAGCAACTAAGTAAATTTTTATCTAGAGCAACAGGAAGATAAAAGCAAACATGCAAACACCTGGCCGGGTTAAATTAAGATGCTGAAGGTCATATTCTCCAAATTCCCCTGCACACTGGAAAAATTAAATCGAAGAAGAAATGGTTACACACAGTAATAATATCTCGATGTCATCCACCGCTCTTTCATCCCCTCCAACATTCCCCTGGCCCAGGTTACACACCACACAGTTCCCGCTTACATCCTGGCTTCTCTCAGCCACTCTCCACTTTCACTGATCTTTTTAAACATGAACCTGGTCTTGTCTCTGCTCTAATTAAAACCCAGAGAGGCTCCAGACTTCTCAGGACAGAGTTCAGCCTTTATGTCCAAAGCGCTCAGCTTTCTTAGCCTTGCCCCTAGTTCCTACCTTAGCTCTTCCCATTTTGACTCAGCACCTTCCTTCAGACCCACTCCCTGTCTCTCTCTTCATATATACTCATCATTCAAGGCATTTCTACAAAAGGGGCATTTTTAGGCTGGGAGTGTAGCTCTGTGGTGGAGCGTTTCTCTAGCATGGTCAAGGTCCTGGGATCCATTCCCAGTACCACAAAAAGTTTTAAAAGGAGAAAGAATACCTTTCTTTTACTTCTAACCTTGGCGCATGGGTCTCCCTGCCTTCCACCCTGGTCTCAATCCTCTTCTGTTGCCTGGCCAATTCCTACTCATTTACAGAAGTTTGGATTAAACATTATTCCTTCCTCCAGAAACAGTTCTCTCAGTAACAGTGTTCCAAGCCTGCTGTGTCCTGTCTCTCATCACATTAAGGTCTCTGGGTGCTTAAACTGTCTTTACCAAGAGACCACAAGATTCACAAGACCAGGGTCTGCTGCGCCCACTCAACAGACACCCAACATATAGCAGATGGAGGGGCAGAGAAATAGATGAAAAAAATTAAGCCAAGACTGAGACACAGGATTACACTAACTAACCTTCATTATAAAAATATTTTAGAGAATTACTGTTAACCACAAAATCACTAGGATGTTCATAATGTCAGACAGTGTGCCATTTTATTCAGAATCATTTTCATTTCTCAGTAAAACTGTAGCACGATGCCTGCAATTGACCTTCCAGTAACTCAGCAAATGTGTGCATGTGTGGGCGTATTCCAGTAAAGGAGAGAAACGAGGGCAAAATGTGAACAATTACTGAATTGTTAAATTTAAATAAGTTTGCTGATACAGGGATGATGGCATCCTTATTAATTTTGTTATATTTTAAAAGATTCATAATAAAATTTACTTTTGACCCCAACATAAAACATCCCTGCTTTTTGAGTTTGTGCGCTCTTAAGTCCCAGGAGATACAATGAATCACCACCCCAAACTTCCTAGCTCCCCTCTCCCACCTCAACTAACTCCGACCTTATACCTCAAAAAGAGAGGACAATTTTACAAGAAAATTCAATCCATATATTTTAACTTATTTTGCATAAACCAAAAATCTCTGCAAATAGAAATATATAATGTCAGTTTCATTTTTTTAAAACATAAGTTTCTCTTTTCAGATTTTAAACAGCATCTACAAGAGGAACTGATTTAACTAGAGCGGGCCATAAATCTGTGGCCCATGATGAACTGCATGTGTTTCTACAAAATACCTCTCATGAATAACTAAGTATAGTAATATGATTTAAAGATATACTCTTGCTTTAATAATAAATTCTTGACATATTACATAATATTTAATAATAGCCATATTAATCAGGCATTGCCAAAAGATATTTATAGTCAGACTCTCTCATTTAACATCCTCTTTCCCCTACAAACCCACAGCATCCCTAGTAAACATGAGACTACCTTTCAAATGTAGAGCTGAATTTAATACAGTGGATCACTAAAACCTCAGTGAAAAGTATACAAACTGCTTTAACAAAATTAAAGGAATATTTTAACAGTTCTTGGTAAAAGAACTCAATCCTTTTAGGAAAGCACAGTGTATGAGGAGAGATGCCATTACATGCCAGTATCAGAATGCCTGACTCAAAAGAGTTCAATGGTTAAGGAAACATTTCTCTGATATCACAAGAAATCAGAAGCAGAGCAGCCTTGTGGTTAGTGCCATCTACCTCTCAGATCGCCATTCTCCATGTGTAACTGCCAGGTTAGCCTCAGTCACGGTACAGTATCCCAGGCCCCAAAACCCTTCGAAGTACAATGTTGTGAAAAAGAATGAGGAGTTCTTCTTGTGCCTCCTTGGAAGGAATGAAATTCTTCTCCAAAGCCCACTTCAAGCTGCTCCTTATCTCTAGTTAGATGGGGCAGGCCCTAGCAATAGTCAGAAAGACACTAAATTACCTTCATGGCCTTGACCCATCACTCAGGGTAAAATTAACACTGAGGAGTCAAACACTGATCAGTAGGCAATTCCAGTGTAGAGTGACAGCATATAACAATACAAGAAGAACATCACTCCATAAGGGAAAAAGGAGGGAGGAAGGAAAGAGAGAAAGGAGTAAGAGAAGAAAGGGAAGGAGATGACCGATGGGTATATGAATACATAGCAAATATTATGACTTATATCTAAAATGCTCCTCCCCTGCAAAATCTCAGGCACTCATAGGTGGGGCTTCAGGGAGGTGACTGGATCATGGGTGTGTAACACTGGATCATGATCTGCGATACTGGATCATGGGTGTGTAATACTGATTTAGTCCACGGATGGACTTAGGAGAGTTCTGGATGAGGACAGTGGGCTTACTGAAGAGAGAGAACCCACCCTGGGTGTGTCCTGCACCAACCAATGGGCTTTTACCCTGGAAAGAATAAAATTGGAAAGAAAAAGGAAATCTCAGTGCTTTTAGCGTGCCTTGCCATGGACTGTTTCCCCTCCACCAGGCAGCCCTGCCTTGGAGCCAGTCAACTACGGACTGAAACCTCTACAAATTATGAGCTAAGAAAAACATTTCTACCATTAACCTATGGGTGTTGGGTATTTTGTCCCATCAATGAGCAAGTTAGACAGTGAATAAAACATCAATTATAAAAAATCTAAAAAGAGAGACAGGGAAGGAGGGACAGAAAGAGGAGAGAGAGAGAGAGAAAGAGGAGAGAGAGAGAGAGAGAGGAGAGAGAGAGAAAGAGGAGAGAGAGAGAGAGAGGAGAGAGAGAGAAAGAGGAGAGAGAGAGAGAAAGAGGAGAGAGAGAGAGAGAGAAAGAGGAGAGAGAGAGAGAAAGAGGAGAGAGAAAGAGGAGAGAGAGAGAGAGAAAGAGGAGAGAGAGAGAGAGAGAAAGAGGAGAGAGAGAGAGAGAAAGAGGAGAGAGAGAGAGAGAGAGAAAGAGGAGAGAGAGAGAGAGAGAGAAAGAGGAGAGAGAGAGAGAGAGAGAGAAAGAGGGGAGAGAGAGAGAGAGAGAGAAAGAGAGAGAGAGAGAAATTGCCCAGGATGACTTAGTCTTCCTATTACTGCAATCTCTAAGGCACGTTTGCTAGCTCAACTCAGCCAGACCTCAATATTTTACCTCACCACTTCATACACTACCCCACCAAATGCTACCCTTTACTGCAGGACTTGCTCCAGTAACTTTAAGACCCTAACTTTACGAAGTCTGCTTTCAGGAACTTATTGTTCTACCAAACACTGTTTCCTTCTTACAACATATCCATATTCTGCCATATTTTCAAGTTGTGTTCTGTTCATTTACGGGTATCTAGCCAAATCTGACTCAAACATTGCATGTGGTTGGCTGTATCTCTTAGGGAAATTTTCCAGACAAAGTTGCAAATCCAAGTGGCTTTACTTTGAAGGGGACCCCATGATGTGCCATAGGAAAGTGGAAAATGAGTGAAGAAAGAGTAGCCAGCAGAGGTGTGCTGCTGAAGAGGTCCACACTGTGGTCAGAGACTCAAACCAGTCTAGTGCACATATGAGGACAGCCTAGTGCACATATGAGGCTGGTCACACCCTAGAGGAGAGGGGGTCAGGGTCGTCATCCAGCGCTTGCCTGCAGGTGAGGGCTGAGGGTTGCTAGAGGCGCCAAAGTCAGCACTGGGGGATTGGGCCAGTAAGACAGACCTCCAAAATTCTCTGAGTGTGTGTGTGTCCTATCACAAGAGACAGAGGCGCTATTCTGGGATTCAGGTATAAACAGACCACTAACGAAAACGTACTCTGCACTTTAATATCACCCTGCGGCAGTGTAACAGTTATCACCCTAACTTGCAGTGTTTCTACCAAATGCATGAGATTTATTATCAGTAAAAGGGTTAAATACAAAGGAAATTTAAAGCCCGAATTTAAGAAGGGTAGTAATTCACACCACAGCGTAGAACATTAACTAAGCTGGCTACATTTTTATGTGGGTACATGATCACATCAAGCCTAAACATCAAGAATAAATTGTGTTTTTAAACCCAACAGATGTCATCTACAACTTCCAAGGACCCAGCACACTTTCTTCCTTCTGAAAAAGATTTCTTCAGTACCACCTGAGCACCTACTAAGAGCCAATCACAATCATCTTTCTTTGCAAGAATGGAACACACACGATGGCAACCAACTGCTTCCCACACTCTAAGGGTCCAGAGGTGCATGCTTCAGCAGAGTCCTCCTGGGACACACACACACACACACACATACACACATACACACACACACTCTGCTAACATGTCAATCGTCTCTCCAGCCTCCTTAGCATGCTGGCCCCAGCCTAAACTGGCAGCAGAATGGCTTCTGGGCCAGAGGTACAACCATCGTTTCTGCTGACAGTGAGGAAATCCCCTCCTCACAAATCCCAAGCACATCCTGACTCAATCAAATCAATTCCAAAGCAGCCACAGAATGTGTATAAAGGACTATTCTTAGCACAGCCACGACTGGAGCTGAGGGTAGGGCCAGCATCTGCTGACACCCATGAACTGCGTGGAATAGGGCAGAAGGACCTGAACAAAAATAGAGAAGAACATTCTGAGAATGAAGTTCCAGTGTGCCAAGAATGTTTCTGTGTATTTACGTATGTGTTTATAACATATCAGAAACCAAAGCAACTGAACTCCTGAAAGCTGAACTGCCAAAGACACAAGATGAAATGGTCAAGGGAACGCATGCAGCAAAGCAGAGAAAGTGAAGCCGAGCAGAGAAATGAGAAAAGCAAGGACAGTTTGTTGCTGCCCAGAAAAGAAGATGCTCAATGTGACTCTCCTGCGTATTTTGAAATTTAATCCTACATGCATGAGTAACAGGGAAATCTGAAACAGGATCCTGGAAAAGTATTCAGAAAACAAGCAAATGTACCATCCTTTCCTAAATGTACCTACACAGAAAAACAGGCACCACATGAAACCCATCACATCAGAAGCAAAACTAAATTTCCAAGCAAAAAGATATTAAACTCAGATATTTGAATAAAATACCAGTTCACCAAAAACTTTTCCCCCTTGATGTGCTTTTTAAAAAGTTCTACTTATAAAACATACATAATTCATGACATAAAATTTCAAAACATATATATATTTTAAGCCAGTGGTCAGCATTGGTTCATGGCTTATAACGCTGTACTGGACACATCCAGCTTATTATGGCACCGTCTCATGCAATACTTCTGCAGTATTGACTTCTCTACTGTCTGTGACTGCTTTCACACTGACGACACAGCGGAGCCGACCTGTGTTTTCAAAGCCTAAATGTGCTTAGTCACTGGCCCGTGACAGGAAGTTTACCAACCTCTGCTTTAAGAAATGATGTGCTTTTTAAAGATTCAATTCCTGAAATTTTGCATAACAGAACAATGGGAAAATATATTCATTAGTTATATTGAATAGTTGGGATTTTAGCAAAGGTTTACAATGAAAATGCACTGTACTTAATATGTATCACAAACATATCAATAAAAAACTTTTAAAAACACTGAGCTCTTGATTCAGAAATCAGAAAAACTTTAAAACCTCCCCCACAAAAAAAAATGAAAATGAAAATGCATTAAATACAACAAGAAATAATAGTGAAAGAATACTCACAATCTTTCAAGAAGACTTAACCCAGAAAATGAGCCATTCTTCAGCTCGGATATTTTATTATTACTCAGAATCCTAAAAACGACAGAAAAAAAATATATATGTAAGTAGTCTAGTATACAGCATCAATACCAAAGTATCTGTGTTCATTATGTTGAAGCCTATGAGGAATTCTCAAAATTATTACCCAGAATTTTTCAGATGGCTGAAAACAAAGGAGCTTTTTTCCCCAAATAACTCACTCAAACATCTTATCACATCGTAAATCATCCTCGTCACACTTAACCAAAACCTCAAAGACAAAAGGGAGAAAGACAACACCCAACTGCTCTAAATTCAATGGACTTCTGTAAGTTGAACGCTTATTTTAAAACTGAAAATGTAATAGAAAATCCCTAACAATTGATCCATAAAATACTGACCTCACAAAGAAAAGCATTTTCTAGGTATCATTTCAATAAGGCTGGATACACTTGTAATTTAATAACATGCAGCTCTACTGTCCATATGAGTGAAAATGCAGTTTTTACCAGCACTCCAAAAACATGACTGCTGAAAAAGCTGAAAACAAAAACTCATTTTTAAAGTCAGCGGAGCCTAGGCTCTAGAACATTATGAAGGTTTGGCAACATACACAGGTAATAAAATTTCCGTGAGTGAGATGTAAATGCCAAAGGTGTGGGAACACGCTAAAACAGCAAAGCAGCAGAGCAAAGAAAATGACGAACAGCCCAGGTTACACAAGCAAACGAACGGCAGAGCCAGGATTTGAACCCAAGCAGTTTCTACTTCAAATGCACTGATCATCAAGGTGCACCCGTGCTGGTAACAAGGCACCCCCTGGCATGTGGGTCAGCATGCTCTCCATCACCATGGTGTTGTGTAACTTTCAGGAGCAGCCTTCAGGAGGGGCTCAAAAACAGCAGTTCTGTGCATACGCAAAGGCAAATGGGACTTTGAGTCTAGATACTAACATTTATTTTGTCTTTTTAAAAGATTATAATTTTTTATATTAACGTAATTTAAATGGCCAGCTGACATTCCATTTGTATAAATGAGATTTTTTTAAAACTCCTTGCTATGAGACTAATATGTCACAGCCTTGAGGTGGGGGATGATGATGAATTCCTAAAGTCACCCCACCTGGGTTTGGACCCCAGCTTTGTCGCTTTTGAATTACACAGATGTGAGGCAAATCACGCCAGCTCTCTGTAATAGAGTTCCCTCAGTTATAAGATGCAAAAAGTATCTATCTCACCAACACTAGAAAGAAATTAGAAAAAAAATGACACGCCTGATGAGGAGCCATTATGTTTCATATTATGTTTCCTTGGGTCAAAGACACACATCCTCCCTCTGTTCAGAGACAAGATGCATCTCCCGAAGGATGCAACTATGCAGGGTCCCTCCCCAAAGCTGTTACTGAGACCAGGATAAGCCTTCAACCATTTTAACAGGAAAATGTGGCAATCGGGAACATTCAAATTAAAATACAATAGCGTTTTCTCCAATCAAAACCACAAAGGTTAAGGTAGTTGGCACAACAGGAAAAAGCAAACTGAGACTTGTATGCGGCCACCTCAACCACTTCGAAGCAGGTGTCTCCAGCACCTGGCACTGCACACATTGAGCCTCTGACCCTTCCAGACCAAACAGACATGGATCCCAAGCCAGCAAATACCAAATGTGACAAAAAGGATGTGCGATGAATTTATTTAAGCAGGATTTAGAACAGAGACCATACACTACTGAAAGAGGTCAGAAATCAAGAGGAGTTAAATCACAGTATATCCAAGCAACAAAACTTCATACATCCATTAAAAATGAGTCTTTCAAAGGAAACCTGGGGAAGAGGAAAACGCTTATCATCAACTACAAAATAAACAGTACAATTGGTACCAAAGTTTGAAAACTATACAAAAACCAAAGAGACAGAGAGAATAGATCAAATGATCACTATATTACAGAGGAAGTATTTACGATTTTCTTTTATTCCTTCTAATCTTGTAGTAACTTTTGAAATCTGGACTAAGATTCTTAGCTTTAAAATGTTTTGGGCTAATGATAGACATAAGAATCTTGCTTAAAACTGAGTTAATCTGGAGTTTAATTAATTTTAGAAATAAAAACTGAAGGAAGGAATAATTTGCATTTTGAGGTTAAATATTCAATTTACTTATTTGCATTTTAAAATGTTCACACAGAGACTGATGCCGGCAACTTAACTGGCACCAAAGGAAGTACAAAGAACAATTAAGTTCATATTCAGAGCCTGGTTTTTATTGGAGGCCCTGCCAGGATAAACGACTCTCTGTGACAGTTACTGCACTTTTCTAGGTAGAGTTTAACCTCATCTTTAAGGAAAAATTAAATTAAGACTAGAGTGATTACCAAGATCCTTTTCAGCTTTTAATTTTCTGACTGTTCATATTTAATGAGCAAAGCTGCAGAGTGACTGAGAATTTATAACCAATAAGCCAAAAGCAAAGGAATAAAAGAAAAAAACCAGAAACTCCCAGCTCAGTAGCATTAGGAGCCCACTTGGAAGGAGAATGAAGAATGAAACCCCAATATGGCAGCAGCTTATAAGTAACTGCCAGGGTGCAGACCGATTTACATTGCTGCTTTAGAAAAGGGACTGTCATTTGCTCAGCCATAAAGGCTTTTATACAATAAATGATAGATTTTATCGAGGAGAGTAAAAGGAAGACATTTCATCACACTTAAAAAGTTATAACTGTAACCCTAAAAATATAGTTTACAACCTCAAGTTAATATACTCCGTCTACACATTACCGGATGTGTTTAAGGACTGTGTGCAGGAAAACAGGATCAGTGTGAATAAATCTACTCTGCAGACAGCTTTTATACTCAATTTTCAAATGGGGGACTGTGGAACTAGGAAATGCATACTATCGTATATCGTTATAAACCTAAAACCCATTCATAATCAATATTTTTGCTGACAGGTTTGAAATTCCAAACTTTCTAGGAGGTAACTAAATGAAAAATATAAAACTTGACCAAGTTATAAAGCTTATATACACCCACTTCTGTTCTGTACTGATGATGCTCACACTACATGATCTACAGACAATGCGTAGGGACGCCACCCTGGCTCACGGCCCTTGAATCACAAACGATAAGGAAGAGCTTGGTATCCACTGTGATTACCTAGCACAGTATCAAGTTAGTTCAAGGCATCATGTGTACTGAAAATATGAACAAAAAAAGGACTGAGGCAATGTTGAAACTTCAAAAAGGAGCAAAAGCTGATGGAACAGAAAAAATAAAAATTAAGTATTAGATGTGGTTAGATGCTTGCTACTACAGATCCCAGGATGGAATCAAACTCTGAAAGTTGGTAAGAGAACCTACACCCACTATGACCAAAATTACTATATAAATTCCCTTTTGAGAGGAATATGATCATCTATTTCAAGAGCACTAAGGATTCAAGTCAACATTGGGAATATAATTCTTTTTTTTTTTTTTTTTGGGAATATAATTCTTGATCTCAACTGGTAAAAGGAAATATCAGATCTACAAATTAGCTTATTGGAGTGGGCTGAATGGCTGTGCAGGGTGAAAGATACGTTTTCAGCTATCGTGCTGACCTGATTTAGCACTGGTAAACATTTGCAGCTTAAGTGAGGATCTGGCGACAGAGCACACTGCATTACAGCAGGTCCTACGCCCAGTGACAGGTCAAGGAGGACAGATGAGAAGACGTAGAGAAGGTCACATGATGATCACAGAAATGGGACTCAGAGAAACTGGAAAATGGAAGGAAGGTAGACACAGAAGGAACAGCAATGAAGGATTTTTCAGAACTATGGTAAGGAGGAAATGAGACATTTTAAAACATGTCCTATGTTTAAAACTTTTCCTTGATTTCCTAAATAAGCAACGTTAACAGGTAAATGATAAATTTACCTGTTAACATTTACCTTTATAAATGATAAATTTGCAATACCTATCAAAGGCACAAAGAATAACAGCCTAAATACAGCGTGAACTTCACAATAAATGATGACAAAATAGTGCTGAATAAAAAAGGTGACAAAGACCCTAAGCAGATAGTTCAATGGAAGTAACCACCACACTGGGAATGGCACATTTGTAGTGCCAGCTACTCAGGAGGATGAGGCAAAAGGAGCACTTGAGTTCAAGGGTCTGAGGCTGGCCTGGGCAATCCAATGAGATCTTATCTCTTTAAAAACAGATAAATAAACACCAATGGGTGGTAGTCATATGAAGGAATGTACATGCTTAAAATATGAAAGAATGTAAATTAAAACTAAAACAAGATCCTATGGGAAGACAGAATGGGAAAAATATGCTAATATTTGATATTCTAAAGGAAATAGCCACTCACATTTGACATGAACTAACACAATCACTGTGGATGGTAAAAGGACCAATGAATATACAGTATTTGCTCCATTAATTATACTTCTGGAAATTCATCCTAAACACATACTCACTTGTGCAAAACATGTCACAGATTACATATTATGAAATTATACAATGAAATTATTCATTGGGCTCCAGCTGGTAAAAGCTAATAGTTAAACGTGTAGGTTAGTCCAGTAACAGAGGAGGTTTTATGGGACTGTTTTTCTGCCTACAGAATGGAACACAACGAAGATGGGAGGCTGTGGATGCAAGGAGAGGAGACTCCCTAGACTTCCCATAGTGAGCTTCTTGTACTTCTACGTCTACCATGACCTCACTCTCGCAGAGCACCCAACTGACGAGCTGCTCCAACATCTGTCCAATAAAGGAATGGGACAAAAATACAGCTAGGTTTAAGTTTCTGTGTTCCAAGATCCTTCCCACAGGACACAGTGATACAGTCTCTGTCATTTACTGGCCTCCAGCGGTAGAGAAATATAAATCTCAGTCCACTCGCATTTCTGCCTCTCTCTCAGGCTTATAGGGCCTTTTCTGAAAAACTACCAGAACACGTCGTTTCCTGTCTTCTTTTAACATTGCCATGAGAAGTGTCCGATGATAATTTTTCCACATTTTATCCCTCCTGAAAGTAGGACCATCTCAAAAGTTGATACCAAAAGAAATATGCAGCTGTCAGGAAAAGGAAGAAGTCGCGAATTGATCAGTAGTTGTCACTGTTGGCACACACACAAACTGTGGCTGACTTTCAAGTGTGGATCGTTAATTATGATTTAATGTTTACACACTGAGGTTTCACTACAATACAGAGCTGAAGTAAAAAGCTACGTAATACAAGATGGCACACTGTATGGCAGTCAGTGCAGTTAAAGGCTGAGAAATGTTTGGATCTTTCAGAATCAAACATTTCAAGAGGCGAGGATCCATTCGCATGTCACAAAGAACATCTCTCCTAAACTGCCAGCACACTAACCTACAAAAGCAACACTTCAACTTTCAGTGTTGTGCGATTATTTTAAGTTTGGGGGAGAATAAAAAAAAGAGGGAAGCTTGTTAAAGTAACCAAGTAAAACAAAAAATGCAAATAAAACCATAATGTTCTTTCCAGGGCCATCCAAATAATTTTATTATGACTAAAGATGCTAAAGGAAAGAATCAAGATCATTCTTACAGAAACACTCTGGAATCATGACGCATGCCAGATATTGTAGAAATTTTAATATGCATATATAAGAATATACTGCTAAAAGGGCAAAATGTAAGAGAAAAATTATGTAAATCAGGGTTAAAAAATATAAAGAGGGTTCTACTCATGATCTTCTTCTTAACTTTCATGTAAGTCTGAAACTATTTTCAAACCGTAATGGAAAGGAATGTGTGTTAAAATGACACTGCCCCGTTCACAAATGGCTAAGTGACTCACAAGAACTCGAAATGAGAGGGTTGGGGGTGGACAGAGGCACAGAAGTGGCACTTCATGCTACGGGAAAAAGAAAAGCCACTCTTTCAGAGAAACTAGCTTTGAAGAGTAATTATCATCTCTCCGGCTCCCTTGATAGCATCTGAGAATCAAAGACTATTTTAACCTGGCTTTTGCTACTCCATCTGCTTCTCAGTTGATACTCCGTCTCTTAGATCTATCCCGCACATTGCTTAATTCTGCTTCTTAATTCTCATCTTAATCCCTTGGCTTTGAATTTTCAAATAAATCCCCTGTTCAATTTTCCAGACCACTAATTTTCTAAGTCCTTAGTTGTTTCCATTTTGCCCTTCAGCACTTCTGCTGACCCCACGCCTGTGCTTTCTAATGTGACAATCCCGTGACTAACTTCTCGGCACTCCTTTTCTCAGTCTTTGCCATGAACTGCTCCTGCATTAGGATATGCTATTCAATTGGGCTTGGAACTACGAATTAGAATTTTCCTCGTTGTTTTTTTTTTTGGGTGAGATGGGGTCTTGCTAAATTGCTAGGTTGCCTGGGTTGGGCTTGAACTTGTATTCCTGCTGCCTCAGCTTCCCGCACTGTTAGGGTTATAGGTATGTAAAATTACACCTGGCTCCTGTGTTAACTTTCCGCCAACCATTCCGCTGGACTCAATTCTGATTTCTTCTCAAATGTCTACAGACCCTTTTTGGTTGTCTGCACATGTTTACAAACCTGGCGGCCGGAATAATCCATGTGAGACACTAAAGAGGTTTGCTTTAGATAGATGAACAGAATGGGGAATGAGCTGGGCAAAAATGAGCAACTTTTAGGTGAAGGCTCAGAAGTCCCATAACCCTGGAGTTGGAGACAAAAGAGAGCCTGGAACTCCAGCAACTTCTTCCGGCTACAGTCATCCAACTGCATTCTGCCTTGGTAAACTGCCCAGTTCCTTTAAAACTAAACTCTCTGACTCTGTTGCAGAGAAGAACTGACCACCAACCCCTTGGATCCCAACAGAGCAAAGCACAGCAGCTGTTCCAGTGTTATTAATTCCTGGCCTTGCACTCTTATTACCCACTTCTATTGCCACTCCCTACAGTTTTGATTCTTGGGAATCTTCCAGGATGCTAAGAAAATTCATTTTTCTAGTTGCTCTCGCTTTTGTCTCTATTGGGTTGTTAAGTTCCTCTGCCGTGCAGTCTCACCATCAATCTAATCCCATCTGCTTTATTTATTCCACAGTGTCCATCCCCGATACTTCTGGGTCACTGTAGCACCTTGCTCATTTTTCAGCCCATTATAGGGCTGTTCATATTTTCTGCTGCCTCTATTACTTTTAACAAAATTTTGGAAGGAGCAGAGAAAAAGTAAATAAACACAGCTCAATGCATATCCCCTTAGGGGGTTGTAAACAGGTCAGTCCCTAAAATAAGAGGTCTCTTTCCTCTCTGGAGGCTAAATGATTAGGAGGAAAGCTTGGCTTCCTCTCTCCTAACAGAATTATTACTTTTAATCACAAGAGTCCCTGTTAGAACAGGAATACCTCATCTGTGAACCAAAGCTAAGGCCCCAGATACCCTGTAAAACAGTCAGGTGTCCCTGAGCACATTTCTTAAGTGTCATTCTCATCCTGGCCAACATCCAACCACCAGATGCACAGGAGGCAGATGTTGTGATCTTCTGGGGAAGAAGATGTGGTTCTCCTCTCCCATTGCGTCACTTACCCTGCCCTGCCCTGCCCTCTCTCCATCAGTGCTCAGCGAGTAATGCCACAATAGGGAATAGTCTAGAATACAGAACACCTGAATCTGAATCTCAACGCCAGGATCTGGCTTCCTGATGTTAGACAAGGTCCTTAACGTGTCAGTTACTAAATGCCTCTCTATAAATCATCGCCACCTCCCTGCCCCAAAGGCAAAGCTTTGGGAAATGTGTATGGGAACATGTGCTAAAGGACTTACAGCAGGCCCGCAAGATTATTCTGTAAGAACCACACAATTGGTCAACATCGCAGCTAGGAAACCGTCACACTGACGGGCGACAATGGTTTCTACTCAGCTGTCTTACTGGTGACTGCCAACCAAATTAGTTACTTTGTTGCCTTCCGACCAGGCCAACAGCAACTGCTCCACCATGCCTGTCTCTGCCAGCTGCTACAAGGACAAATTTCTAATGTTTTGACACCATGCTATACACCTAACAGAACAAGTGGCATCCAGTAATAAATCAGGATGAAGGGGCACATGCATCCAAAAGTTTGGAAACATTACCATTTCTCATGAGAAGGAGTCTGAGGAAACAGCATGTCCTAAAACTCTTCAACCAAAAGGCACTCAGGAAGCAGTACTCGCTGGATGAATTTGCTTACTTGGATATTTCTCTAATTTAACCAAGAGATTCTCCATGACAATGCAATGACCTGCCAAACCCACTGTGCAGAAAACTGAAACATGGCGATCAGCTGCCCAAGAAGCAAGCAGTGTGGTGGGCAAAAGCCAACACTTGATGTTAGACATCTACATCTGAAGCGAGACCCTCAGCATCTGAATCCTTGAACAAGAGTAATTGTGCTTACCTGTTTAAGAAGGACTCAAAAAACTCTGTCCACAAACTGTTTATAAATAAAGTTTTATTGGAACACAGGTAACAGTCACTTGTGAACTCTCTTACAGCTGCTTTCACACATGAGAGTTGTACACAGCTGCAAGAGACCATGGCCTGCACAGCCAAATTATTTACTATCTATGCCTGAACAGTTTGCCTACAGCTGTGCAGAACACAAGTTCTCAGTTCTTGTTGTAAATTAAAAGTATTATAGAGTTTTAGTCTGGCATGGTGGCACATGTCTGTAATCCCAGAACTCTGGGAAGCTGAGAGAGGACTCCTAAATTCAAGCCCAGCCTGGGCAATGTAGTGAAAATTTGTCTCAAAATTTAGAAAGGCAGGGGGGTGGTAGATGAGTGCTGAAGAGCGGTTTATTGTGAAGGTTTGGGTTCAATCCCAATACCATAAAATAATAATAATTACTATTATTATTATTATTTATTATTATTTACGGCGCCAGACTTTCCCATGTATCAGTTAACTCACACTTTTAGTTGGGATTCCACACATTTAACTTCCCAAGTAGGCCTTCCTAGGACCCACATCTGCAGCCTCTAAATGACTGCCGCTTAAATGAGGCACAAAGGAAATCATGACCAATTATAAAGCCACAGAAGCCACAGAAAACAAGGGAGCAGCCTAGAAGTATGTTTTTAATGGCGTGGAATTATCAGAAGGACATAAGAAAACATTATACAAAAAGAGATAGACAGCCAGGGGCAGTGACACATGCCTGTAATCCTAGAAATCAGAGGAGGCTAAAGCAGGAGAATCACAAATTCAAGCTCAGCTGGGCAACTTAACAAGACCCTGTCTCAAAAAATAAAAAAAGACCTGGGGATGTAGCTTGTGGAAAGGCACTGGGTTTAATCATTCAGTTTCCAGTACAGAGAGAGAAAGACAAAAAGAGGGGGAGGGCAGGAGGGAAAGAGAGATGAGAGTCAACATAAGTTTTAATAAAGTACATAAAATTTAAAATTCTGAAAAAAATATGACTTGGCCTTTTAAATGCAGTAGGTAAAATAAAGATAGTCACTACTAAGAAGAAAATCATGAAAAGACCTGGAGTATATGCAAATGATAGGAACTCTGGGTGGCGGGGTATCAGTAGAAAAGTAGCAATAACTAGAAAAATAAAGGGAAATGGCTCTCAGTAAACAGAGGTGGGGGAGGGAACAGGCAACAGGGAACACACAGCTATTTAATGGATACAGAGAGTTCAGGTTGGGGTTGATGTAAAGACTTTCAATACAGACAACAAAAACAACCGTCGGTAAACCAACACTGCCAATGTCTTCAGTACCCCTCAACTGTTCACTTACAAGCAATTACAATGAGAAATATGTGTACTTTACCATAAAATAATATATACAACAAACATATGCACATTACTTTCAAAAAGAAAATAGGAAGTGTCTCCAGTTTGGAGAGAGATTTGTAAAGACTCTGTGTCAGGCAAACCAATGAAAACAGTATGTGTCTAGCAAGAGCTAGCGAAAAATTGCCGAATCCCATAATAAAGGAAGTCTCCAAACAAACACGAAGACTGGTGGCAATTTTGTTATTTGTTTTTAAAACCTCTTCCACAGATTTGGCAAACTGGAGTGACTTCAGCATACAGAACTTCGCCCGCTTCCTCAAAGCCCTAACAACAGTATGTCCAGCTTTAATCTTCGCAGGGTGAACAATTATTTACAGTGAGACAGCAACTCCAAGGTTCGGACAGGTAACATACTATTACTGAGCCCTGAGAACAAAGGCAATGCCACTAACCATTACACTAGCACAACAGACATCACCTGGGTATGTGGTGCCATTAACTCCTCTAACGGTTCATTAAATCATCCTTCAAATTCCCAGGCATTTTTATCAAAAACTAACATTTGTTTAAAAGCCAGTTATTTCCTTATTACTTTGTATTCTTTCTTTAGCAGTTTCATAAATGAAAAAGGAAATAACCATTTTTTTCTGCTTTAGCATTAAACACAGTGAAGGTACATGAGATTAAAAAAGCATTTGGGTGATTAAAAAATACTGAAGAGTTCTTAATGCCATACTAGGTATCTTTCAAAAATGCCTAAAAATGAAAAACTGCTTATTAAACAACACTTCACTTTATCTTATGAGCACACTCGCTCCGTGAGAAAAAAAAAGGCCATTTTTCAAGGTGTCTGCATATCATAAAGAACAACAGACACAATATTTATGAATATAATAAAAGTAAGCTTACTTGGCATTTTAATCAAATGCATGCTTTCTGAGACCACAGTAAGATTCTCAGGGATTTGAGCCTTTGATTTTTCAGCTGAAATTCCTGAAGATGTACCAATTACTCATTCATTCAGATTAGATCTGAGTAACTAGCAGTGTGCTGGCAATGACGCCAAGGATACAGAAACAGACCCAAGGACCAGCGCTACTCTTGAACCTAAGTCTGGAGTGCTATTAACTCACTGCATAACTGATTCAAAGGGCACAGAGGTTAAGTACTGCTAAAGGGGAAGCATTTCTGAACTATGGTATCAAACAAACCAAAACAAAGAGTAAGAGTTGTAAAAGGCACCCAAGGAGAAGAAAATCCTTTTAAGTGGAGATGACCTCGAAAAGGTTTGTGTTCATTTTCTACGGCTGCAGAAAAGTTCACCACAAAGTTAGCTCACAGTTCTGTGGGTCAGAAACCCAGGCAGGGAGTGAGGTGGGTCCTGTGATCAGGTGGAACTGGCCACACAGAAACCTGGAAAATGACACAGGCTCCCTCAGGCAAGCCCTTTCCGCCTGCAGCTCATCCTGAGAGCGAGGAGCACAAGGTCCATGTATCAATCTGAAATGTCTTGTTTAAGTGGAAGGCTGTTAAAATTCATGAGGGGCGTGCTCCAACTAGAGGTCAACGAACTTCCTGAAGCACCTGGTATTTCTGGCTTTGTGGGCCAAGAGGTGAGATTCATGATATTATGTAGGTATTTATAGAACAACCTAGGAAACAAATACACACTACTGAATGACAGCACTCAACAGTAACAGCGTAACTTTGTTGCAGCAGTTGGCAAAGAGCCCTTCTTACAAAGTTAATACTCAAAAATCGAGAGCATCCTTGTACACAAACAACAAACTCATTGAGAGAGAAATTAGGGAAACCACACTCACCAGAGTGGCATCAAAAAAAATGAAATACTTAGGAATCAGTCTAACAAAGGAAGTAAAGGATCTATACATTGAAAATTAAAGTTTTCTGAAAAAGGAGATTGAAGAGGATTTCAGAAAATGGAAAGATATCCCTTGCTCATGGATAGGAAGAAGCAACATAGTGAAAATGGCCATAC